CTGCTGTAAATATAACTCCTTACAGTCCTTCTCGCGCTTACAGCCCATCGTACTGTACGCCGGGGCGGCGGCGGTGGTGCCGTCGCCTTCGCGCCGTTGTATTACAAAAGTCGTCTATGTAGGGCAGGACCCGGTAGCCTAGCTTCTCCCGGAGGTGCTGCACGAGTGGGCGGAGCAGCTTAGTGAACCATAACACAGATCTGTCCCACCTAAAGGGGAGCGAAATGCACCTGTGAGACGTCCCCACGTATCGGAACACGAAGAAGTCGCGGATGTCCAGGCGCAGGAAGAAATGCCTGTACCCGCTCTTCACGTCCCACGACATCAGCGTGCCGCCGCGCTGCAGGTCCGCGTCGAATGACGGTATCGTCTCCATGCGCACGCTCCCCTTCGACCAGTGCTCGCTTTGAAGATGAAGGTTCACTAAAAACCTTCCCTTTCGCTCCTGCCTCTCCCCTTGCCACACCACGAAAGCCCAGGAGACCACCTTTCCTTGCGACACCATCTTCTCCGTCTCCCGCGTCGATAGCTCCTCGTAGATCCCCTCCTGGCATCCCTTCCGTACGTTCCCCCTCCCAAACCATCTGTCCACCTCCGATTGGAAGATCTCGCCCATCGCCACCCCTTCTGTGAATGGAACCGGCAGCATATATCGAATTCCGTACCGGATAGCCAGAAACAAAATACTCCGACCCCCAAAGTTCCGGTCTCCATGAATCGGCTCTTAGGGATGTGCCTCTCCACAAAGGTTGTCCCTCGACTGCCTTTTGACCCCTTTTGCTCCAGAACGGGGCCGTCACTCCTCCGCAGCGGGGCCGCTTGCCTCGCCGCTCTGACTAGCCCCTCGACCGCGTGCCCTTTCCAGTTCAGACTTGGCGAGCTGCTTCGACGCTTCAGTCTCCAACTTGGACGTGAGGGCTTCTCGAGCGGATCGGAAGGACTTCGAGAAGACAGCGTCGTGGCCCTGCTTCACGAGAAACGACATCTATCGGGCCACATCCATTCCTTGCTCGGTGACGTCGCGAAGGTACTGCGCGCGCATCGATAGTACCTCGAGCGCAGCCTTGAACGAACTTTGAGCTAGCGATAGCCTCCTTCCCATATTCTCCACTTTCCCATCATGAACATTAGCGACCTCAAGGGCCGCTAATCCTGGTTCCATCCATACACCAGCCGCATTTACGTATTACCACCCTTTTGCGGATCGTCGGTCCTTGGACCGCAGATTGGAGAGGAAGGCGTCCGCGGGGGAGCTTAAAGTATCCCATGTGCGTAACGGGTGCATGGGGATCCCGCTTGAAAACGCTCCCCTCTCCAACCAACTTTAGAGAGTTTAGCTCGGCAACTACAGTGCCATAGTCGCGGCGTTTTGGCTTCGCAGTTGCCCAAGCAGCCCGCAAAGCCACCGGCGAAGACTGGGGCCCGTCGTTGTTGTCGTCCGCCATAGCTCTCGGTAGCACTCTGATTGTGCTACGCAGAATGTGTCACCGCCCGAAGAATGAAGGGGAGAATTTCTCAGAAAGAGAAATAGACATGCCTGAGGCGGTGGCAGCAGTGCGGTGCCAGGGTAGACGATTAAGTACTGTACCCTGTGCACACTGCGACGACGGCGACGCTCGGCGTGCTGACAAATACTGTCAGCCGATCGCTACACTGATCACAGCAATTAACCTGGGCCAACTTAATTCTGAGGCCCCTTTTTCAGGTCTATAACCATATTTAACATGGTCCAGATTAATTGTGAACCCAGATTAATATATGGTCAAATCAGATATAACATGGTCCAGTTTATTTGTGAACCACTGGATTAACCTTGATTTCTAACATTGCTGACAAGTATTCAAGAAATTACGGCTCTACTTCTTGCCCATTGAAATGGACACGATGCTTGGATATTATTGTCTGCAGCTCAAAAAAGAGCTGCTTCTCCTCCCAAAGACCATATCGAGGCGGCGACATGCGTTCTCGCCCTTTTTGAACTCTAAAGGCGACTTATCATAAGACTGTTTCCTCCAGGTCAAAACCAATAATAACCTGGTCCAGTTTATTTCTGAACCCAGGTTAATATATAGACCAAGGTTAATTGCTGTGATCAGATGTACTTCCAATGGGTTCTTCACCCGCATACACAACGTGTACACGAACGCATAAAAAAACTCACAGTGTCGGGTGATCTTGATGCATCAGGGTGTGTCTTAACTTGCCTGGGTTTGCTTTGCTTGCCCGAGTTTGCCGGTCATTTATTAATTTATTAATGTAAGTACACGCCTTCCCCTTACGTTAGTAGTGGACAGGTGTCCTTTCCCTTACGTTAGTGGTGGACAGGTGTCCCAGAGCGACGGTGCTGACTTACAGAGGCATACAGCGCCATAAATTGCCAGAACACAACGGGGAGGACACTGTGGGTTCTACAAATTCGCTCCGAGGACGCATCGACAGGGACGTGACATGCTGCAGCGTCAAACAACTTCGCCCGAGGGACGCGTCGACATATAGGGGTTGTCCACTGGCTACGAGTGCAGACACGCGCCGAGTGCAGATATGTGCCCCGAGGCTTGCCGAGGGCACCATATCGCAGCACGAGGCTGCGTGTCTGCACGCTGTAGCCAGTGGACAATATGCTTGTCTACCGGCTGACAGTGAAATGCTCGGCCACGTAGATGTATGACACAAGTCCACCAATGATAAATCGCTGTTTTCCGCCGCCGTCGCTGTCGATGGGCTCCGCCGCCGTCGTCGCCGATGATATTTCCGCGACTGGTGCTGTCTACTCAGACCATCCCGAAACCCGCCTCAGACATTCCCCAACACTCCTTCCCATCAACTCCTTCCCCTCCCCTTTCTCTCCTAGCCCTCACTCAATACCCCTACCCCTCCCAATTCTCTCTTCAACTCCCGCACCATCATCAGGCCCCACAACATGCCCTCATCCCCTTCGTCTGTCCCAGGGACGCCGCCTCCAGGTTCTGGTGGATCACATGCGACCGTTCCTGACACGCCCCCATCAGCTTCCCGCCGGCACTCGAAGGCAGCAACTGAATTTCTAGGCAAACGTATGCCGGCCAACACAAAACGTGCCAACATATCCTCTCTCAAGGCGCTGGCCCGCTTCACAACATCACGTCCCGGATTTTCGGATGCTGCGTTCAAAAGGGAAGAGCATCTGCGCAACCACATTCTCATGGGCGAGTCTCGTTCAGAATGGGAAATTCTAGAGACACGGAAGGCCGTATTTCCTGACTGCAACTACAGCCACATACCAGCGCACCACACTGCTTGGACGACCCAGCAGCTAAATACCGTACGGTTCCATCTCATTGAATTCGCTGTAAACTACCGGTCGAAGTCCGGTGAGGAAGTCAAGCCAATTACTATGAGAGGCTACATTTTAGGGCTTCAAAGAGCATTCAAATATGAGTGGGGTTATGATCTAAAGCTTCTCGAAGGGGATGTTTTCAATTGTCCAGCAGAAGGGCTCATGGCTGTGCTAGACAACAAGTTTAGCTTGCAGCAATCGACGGGAGTTGTGGCTGAGAGCCACAACGTACTGTCGAAAGAAGACGTCATCAAGCTTTATGAGTCGCCACTGCTGGACCGCGATACGCCCCTGGGATTTCAAGCACGTCTAGTATTTAGTGTCGCATTGATCACAGCAATGCGCCCTTCTGCATTGGTGCATTTAACAGTTGGACAAGTGCAGAAAATAACTTGTGGCGGGGAGCAGGTGTGGAAAATATGTGGAGTTATTGGCAGCCGCGTGGGTGCTTCGAAAACGGCGACGGGAGGGTGGAAGGCTGTCCAGGACAAGCCTCAGGAGGTGTGCGTTTGGAACAGGACGTGTCTCGGCGGCAAGCTCAATTTATTTGAGGATCTCGAAGACTGCATGCGAATTAGGAACTCGCTCGATTGCGGAAGCGACCGATTCTTTTTGGCAGCTAATGCTCGCGCAACGACGTTTGAAAACTTTTTCAAGCGCCAGCACCTAGGCCGGAATGCATTTGCACGTATTGTGGGGAGCATCTGTAGAAAGGAGGGAATTACAGGGACTGGAGTCAAGCAAGGTATGACGTTGCATGGATTGAGAGGCTCTGTGGTGACGTTGCTGTTCGAGGACGGCCAGAACGATGTGAATGTTGCAATGAGAACAAGACACCGTGATCTGTCGTCATTGAAAAACTACCACAACCTACGAGGTGCTCTCGGAATGCAGCAACAAGCCGCAATTTTTGGAGACTCAAATGCGAAACGTCAGAAGGTGGAGGTCGGGTGTGAAGAGCAGGCGGCGCAGGACGGACAAGAAAACTTAGCGGCAGGCGACGAGGTGGAGGAATGTTTTCAGGAAGGTGGCACAGAAAAAGAAGACAGTAATATGCGCCTTTTATCTGGCGTCCAGAATATCAGCGGGGGCGTTTTCACTATTAATGTGAACAATCACTACCGCTAAGACTACTTTTGGTATGTCGCATCGTCAGTAGTGTTCTCTATAGTACGCTCGAGTAAACTTTGTCGTCCTGATTTGTCTGCACAGTAGTGCAGACAAATAAGGGCCTTGCCCTACTGTGTTCGATTTTGTTAAGCTTGTTGCCCGAATTGTCGCCGCGGTAGTGCAGGCAAATCAGGGCCTTACGTTTGTCCCGTATGTCACGGTGCGTATGTCCTCCTCAACCGGTAGACAAGGACGCGAGACGCTGCAGCGTCGCTCGCTTCCGACCCAGAACGTGGCCATTGCGGGTGATCCCAGATCACCGGGATAAATAATTGATCTCACCCCCTACTTCTCTCCTTACTACTCCGCGGGATAGCGTATCTATCGCCGGCGCTGTTTGGTCAAAAAACGGATCTACAACCACTGCCCAGTATCGCCGTTCGCCTCCCCTCCTTTCTTCTCAATCTAATCACTCCTACGCAATGCACGGCAATAGAATCATCACTGCTACGACCGCACTAACCGCAACCGCAGCTCTATTCTCCCTCCTTTCATTGCACCAAGCTATTTCAAACTATCCTCGACCCCGAAAATTCACAAAGCCCTTAGATCTCCGACGGGATGGACCTTTGTCAGAGCCAACAGGATTTTTAACGACAAAGAATTCAGTCGTACATACCGTATGGAGGGGGGATAATATTTGGTCAGAAACGCCCGCTGCAGACGAGGAAGCAATAGTGAGAGACTTTGCGTTGGTGGCCCCCGTCTTCCGAATGGTGGGAGTCGGAGAGATGCGCCAGAGGCGCGGAGAACGGCGCACGTGGCATTGAGGTGTGGAAGCCATTTTCAGGAAAGTAGTCGGCAGAGAGGTGCTTCGTAGAGTTGGGTTGCCTTTGCGAGATGGCAGGTGCATAGATTTTTGCAAAGGGGGAGTTGAGGATGTTTTCGGCAAGGGGCAAGCACTGCGTCCACCGGAGCACAGCGTCCAAATTCGAAAGTTACAAACTTACAAAAGTAGCCAATATATGATTGACATTTGTCATTACACACTGACATAACTTGAGCTTGCAGTGTAGGGTCGTACTTAGTTTCAAATCATATATTAACGCCCAGTAGCCAATAGTAGTGCAAATCATGGCTCCGGGCAAGCAAACCCGGGCAAACTCGGGCAAGTTAAGACCCTCCCTCAGATTCGGACAAATGGTCATCTCATCAACCTTCACAATAATGATCCATCATCTCAAACGCAATAGCCGTTCAAGCGTCAGGGCTCTCTTTCCAATAAATCTACAAAACACATATAAAGCTGCCGTCGCTTGCAACGGCGTGCTGAATTTCTCAGAATGCATCCATTCCAGTCGATGATCTCTCTACCGTGCGCATCCTACCAACGTACTTCCGGAAAAGCATCCGCGACTTTGAACCATGTCTGACAAAGTAGTCGTTTTCGCTACACTCTTGGCCAAGTCTGACTCCATCGATCAGGTTCTAGAGGCCCTTACGGCCATGTTGGAGCCTTCACGAAAGGAAGAAGGCTGCCATAATTACGATCTTCACAGAGACCGTCAAGATCCCAAGGTATTCGTTTTCCATGAGACATGGGAATCCGAAGCCCATCTCGATGCACACAACCAGACCCCGCATTTCAAGAATCTCTCGACCAAGCTTGAGGGGATTATTGAGTCTGTTTCGGTTAGGCGCACCACAAAGCTCTAGATCTTCATCGGACAACGCCTTTCAGCAGGTGTTCAGGACGAAAGTACCACGTGAATTGAGTAGCGGGCAGAAAGTGACCAAGTTATCCGTTGAGGTTCGGCCAAAGAGTTGCAATGAGCTCTATAGCATTCTTCTCATAAATAAACTAGCGACATTACAGCTTTACTGCATCTGTTCCCGTCGATTTTCCTAGCGTACTGGACCGCAGCCATTGCGGGTGAGAGTGCAGTTTATGTATCTTCGTTGGGAGGATGTCAAGGTCAGACCCTGAAACAATACGATAAAACCCTTTTTCCCCGACGAAGGGTCTAGAAAGCGCTCAAGACTAATGCCCAGTAATTGAAACATGAGACTGTGGATGTGCACTAAGCATGCAGGAAATAGGATTAAACGTGCCAGAGCCCGAGGGAAGTTTTTCACAGTAGTGATGTGGTGTTCCCCCAGTGGAACCAGACCTATTACCCGACAGGAGAAGCGATGCACCATTTCTATTCCCGTGAGACTAGACATAATTGTTTCAAAGTACGAACTCCAAACCAAACGAATTTCAAACCGTTGTTTTTGCGAGTAGTGATGTTATAAGTATCGGGGGGCACTCTCGGGCGAATGGACAGCTACTATGTGTAAATCAAGAGAGCTTGGGTGCTCTTAAGCGGGGACACATGACTCTAGCACAAAAATGTGCCGGTAGTTTCACGACAGATGAAGTCTGAATGAGAATGCTCACGTTCGTGTTGCAAGTCCATGATGCCTAATAGATTTATTCAAGTGCCAAAGGCAAGCAAGTGAAGTCATTCACTAACGAGTTGCTCGCGAGCGCACAGGAAATGTCCCATGGATCGGCCAGTTGCCCAATGCTTATAGCATGCTTTAGCGACGGCGGCGGCCATCACCGCTCCCATCTTCCTTCAAACTTCACAGCCATTGGTGCCAAACGGCTCTAAGAATACTCTTTGACATGACAATATCAAATTCGAATTGCCCTCGCATTGAAAGGACTATGCTTCAAGCATGTGCCCTACAACGAAACTGCCCTGCACAGTATGGTGTCGTTCAATCCCCGCGCCGCCCAGCGCCAAATATCTGTGTTCACGAAGACTTGACTGGAGCGGGCGTGATCTCGTAGTGATACAAAAGAACCAAGAGCATCATCAAGAAACCTCCCCAAGTGGCGTACTGTGCCATTTCTGCGTCACTCACCATTGCGATGCAATACTGCCGAGACTGCCTCCCTGTTGAAATGAAAGTCTCCTAGGTGATGGTCTCCACCCTTGGGGATGTAGACCGTTGCTCCGGGACGAACCTCTAGCAGGCGCAGAAATTGTCTCGGAGTTCAAGCTACAGGGCCTTGTGGGCGGCACTAGAAGCACAAGTGAGAACGCTTCCCCGGTGAATAGTGCTAGATGCCGATGGGTGGCAACTTCGACCTATCCACATTGCCGACAGGGCAGCAAAAGTACTTGCGGATACCGCATGGACTGTGCAATGTACGTACAGAATGTCGCTTTTTCAACTGCACGTGTCGACGTGGAGGGAAAAGGAATGCTGTACGAATAACACGGCGAACAGCGATGAATGCGTGTGCTGTTGTCCGCCAATCAATCATAACGTTGATCCGGTTTTTGCACTTCTGCACTGTGCTGCCCTCCCCACCCTCGAAGCGCTCGAGCCTGATACCTCCGGAACCTGCCGGGGTCGGGTACCAACTCGGCAGCGCGCGAGACGGGAGTACCCTTCTACTCACGTGCGGACAGCCCGGGATGCAGAATGGTCGCGCGTCATGAAGCGCATCATGAAGGAAAGACGCAGTCAGGTCTTGCGGGCGTTGTAGCGGCTGATCCATGCGCGACAGGGGCCGCAGATGTGCTACTTTACTAAACGATCGGGCGTAACGGGAGTTGCAAGAGCTCTTGAATCTAGTGTAAACGCCAGAAGGCTCCCACCACGACCAACTACCGTAAAACGCTTCCCGGCTATTGAACCATGACCGAAACGGTTCTCAAATCGAAGCTCGCTCCTTTAGCAAGTCTTCCATCAGGACTACTGCATCCAATACTTTCATGACAGGAAACGAACAGCCATTGTTATGGGCCCCGTCACAAATCCTCGCGTCAGGGAGCAATGAACAAGTGAGATAGGAAAGAAATGATCGAAATGACCACCACCGTATGGGCTCGGTCTCCTGTCGTGGCCATTGCGATTGTCCGTACAAAGGGAGAACAGGCACAGAGTTCAGTCCATATGCCAATTGCTGTGCCCCAAACGCACTGTAGCTACGGAGGATTTTGTTCTGTTTATGTATTTCAATGCGACAGAATTTCGTTCGGAGACAATCATCCCGGACTTAGGAACGGGTCTCAGTCTTGTCCTTTTCTCTTCTGCATCTCAGAAAGATAAATATTTTTGTCCCTCTCACTGAAGCAACAAAAGGAAACCTGCATGTGGTCCCCATGCTCGGCTTTAAAGTCAAGCACCGCATCAATCGCAATACCCGTGGCTCTTGCAAACGGGAAGCTGTATACACCACAACTGATTGCCGGGAACACAATCGTTCGACAATCGTGATTTTTCGCAAGTTCCAATGAGGACATATAACACTCTCTTAGTAGAAAGTCTTCCTCATGCTTCCCGCCGCCCCATACTGGTCCTACGGTGTGGATGACATATCTGGCTTGCAACTTGTAAGCATTTGTAATCCGCGCGTCACCAACTGGACACCCGTTCAGCTTCCTGCACTCTTGTAGCAGTTCAGGGCCTGCAGCACGGTGTACTGCACCGTCGACGCCACCGCCGCCGAGCAGGCTTGATTTGGCCGCATTCACTACAGCATCAGCAACTATCTTTGTAATATTCCCTTTGACTACCAGTAGATTCTCAAGAAATTCCTGTCGCCGCGGATCATCAGGAGAAATACGCCTCGAGCGCCTTTGCTTCTTTATCTCCGATAGGTACCAGTCTGGGACGTTCTGAAACCGCTCGTCCATACAGACAAACGTCACATGCAATTTATGATGTTCAGAGATGAAACTAGATACTGCTCTCACGGCGATTGTAATTGACCTCCGAAAAGGAAATCCGTTCGCACCACAGCTTATGGCGGGCATCGCTACTGTGTTATAGTTGTTCTCGACCGCCAGCTTTAAACAAGAAGTATAACATTTTGCCAGTGAATCGTCCTCACCATGCTGGCCATCTTGCCAAGTTGGTCCGACAGTAAAGATGACGTTCTTCGCAGGGAGGGAAAATCCTGAAGCAAGGCGGGCGTCACCTACATCGCAGCGAATTAGCTTCTGTGTTTCCAACTTGAGTTGAAGGCCAGCCGATTGATGTGCACTTTGCGCGAGAGAACCGCGGTCAAAGGTTGAGTTGGTTGAAATAACGATGGCATCAACCTTTATTTTGGTGATGTCTCCTTTCACAACCTTAAGCCGGGCGAAAGACGATGGCATGTTGGCCCTCGTCCGACAAGTGAAAGAGATGTTCAGAACGAAGTGCTCAAGTGCGGCACAACCCTTCGCGGGGTGCGTTGCAATATGCATTCTGAAAATCCTTACAGTAACTGAATTTCGGAATTGGCACGGTGGCCAAGTGAGAAGCTGTAAAGTTTACTGTACTTCCAACAAATATCCTGCAGTGGCAGATTTTCGAATAAATGCATCTTGTTCTGTACGGGTTTGCCAACGGTACAGTAGTGCTGCCTCTTTTTTGGCGGCAAAACTCTGAAGCTCTTGACGTGGACAGCCGTTGATGCTTCCGTTGCCCAATGGTCTGACGTGCCCACTGTGCTTCTGTACGTTAGCTTTTCAAGGGCCAGCAGTTGTTGGGAAAGAGATCACAGCTTTCGTCTTCACTTCCTATTGCTGAGGAGGCGGACCACATATTAACCTTCGTCACAATGCCAAGGTCCCGTCATCGCCGCGTAAAACCTGCAACTCGAACGACTGGAGCGGAAACGACAGAAGCGGGCGATGCTGTCGTTACATCGCCAGATCCTCGGGACGATAAAGTGCTGCCGTCTGCTTTCGAAAAGCCTGACACTCCAGATAAGAGCATAAAAATCTCGAAGGAAAAGGACGTGGCAAATTCGGAGGAGCATTCCGACCTTCCTGAAGAGGACGACGATGGCCTCTCAAACGATGTTATCTTCCAATGCAGCTCGTGCCGCTCCGTCGTGGGTGATACGCTTTCCGAGTACGAGGCCCATCTGGAGTCGAAAACTATTTCGTTAAAAGCCGCCCGTTCCGTCGTCATCGAAGGCAAAATGAAGATGTCAAGCACTGGCTTTGATGCTGGTTGCACATACAGACCCATCCGATGCTCCGAATGTCAGCATCATCTAGGCCGGGTGTACGGCTCTACTACACCTGCTTTAGACAGTCGTCGATGTACATACACTTTCGATACTACCACGCTCGTTAGCTACCAGCTAGGCACTTGTCTCACCATTGACGGCGGGCGCATGGAACCAGGCAATCGACATGGCACGGGAAATGGGAGGGACTCGCAGTCAGGAGAAGCTGGAAAAATGAGCGTCACCACTGAAGCCTATGATGCCCTACATGCGCATGTAGGCTCGCTGACGGAACTCGTAAACAAGCTCTCCGCATCCTTTGATGACAACTGTTTGGAAGTCAAGACGCTGACTGACGCCAACAATAATACAATCGCCGACTTGAAAACCGGAATCGAAAATGCACAAAACATGATGTTGTTGTGGGAAGAGCGCTTCAGAAGGTTGGCAGCCTGTGAGCAACGTCTTGAACAACTATCCGTTACGGGCCATCGAATGAGCAACTACGAAGGGCGCATGGCACGGGTAGAGAACGCTCTGGGTGGGTACGCGTCCCCATCTAAACAACACATCCATCGCACTCCGTCGAGGCTGAAGATCTCACCATCAATAAGGAAACCTACCGCTTCCCCAGCACGGATGGCTATGCGCACGACAGTGTCTCCAGCGCGGCCCGCCATGCGCGCAGCACCATCCCCAGCGAGGGGCCCAATGAGAAGGGCAGACTCATCACCAGCAGTGACCGCGAACGTGCACCTCCCAAAGAGGCGTCGATAGCAAACTCATCGCGACGTGACAACATAGCTTTAACGATTATCCTAATACAAACATGTACTGCGCAACAGCTGCTATTCATGCAATAGCTTCGGCCATTCCCGAATTTAGTAGTCCTCTCCTCGGGACAGCACTTCTTTGCGTGTTGGTTTCAAGACTAGCGTATGTTCAAACTGTGCGGTGTAGCTTCCCTTCTGGTCACACAATGGTGGATAGGGATTGACAATACCATTGTCCACGAGAGCTTTCAATCCCATAAGGTATTTTTCTTCTCCGAGTCGGTCTAGATAGCGGCGGCAAAACGCCAGAGTTCCAAAGTTCTTATCAATGGTAGAGAGCAGCGACCTCGCCTTGGCGGACCGCAAATTCACTCTGCGTGCATCAAAGTCTTTCATGTAATGACTGCATTCCATATCTTCGATCACAAAGCCCTTTCCTGTGGAGCCAAAGGTTTCGATTGCATAGAATTCTCCTTCTTCCATCTTCACTTGCCCACCGCCCCGCACAATGGGTACGCTCTTTCCAGCATGAATCTGGTACGGTGCGATGCTGTGTCCGTGAAGATTGCGAATGGCCTTGACAGGGTACACCTTGCCATCGAGCTCAACTTCATGGCTTTCCATGACCTCCTGCACGGCTGCTCCAACATCACACAGTCTCACATCGATACCAGTTGTTTTAATCCCTTCGTTGGTAGCTTCTCGGACAGCCTCAACCAAAGGATCAAACTTCTCGTTGAAATGGACAGTCCACGCGCAATCTATGATGCGCCCATTGATATGTGTCCCGAAATCGACCTTCATTACATCATCGTAACCGAGCACAGTCTTATCGCCTTTGTTAGGTGTATAATGTGCCGCGATATGATTGAGTGAGCAACCTGTCGGAAAAGCGACGCCTCGCGATAAATCGCCGTCTTTTGCTCCTATTAGAGCGCGAGATGCATTTTCGAGGCGCTCGCACATATCAATTAACTTGACGCCAGGCTTAATGTAGTCTTTCATGTACGCGCGCACCTGGCGGTGAACCTCAGCAGCCTCCCGCACGCTTTCGTACAAATCTTCTTCTATTCTTTCTCTGTCACGCATCTCCGCGGATGAGGTGCGATAAGAGTTTGCGTCGACGTAATCTTGTAGCTCACCGACGGGGAACTTCTTCTGAGGGAAGAAACTGGAGACAGGTATCGTTGGAGGGTCCGTCTGGTCAGAGGGGGCTGCGGCTTGTAAAGGGGCTTCATTTTCATTTTCCGTCTCCGGACTTGCGGTCTTCTTCTTCTTCTTCTTCTTCCTTTTCTTCTTCTTTTTTGCCTCACCCAAGACGGCCTGATTTTCGTCAGTGTCCGCTGCTCCGTTGATTTGTTCGCTTATCGGTGATGCGCCACTGACCGCATGCACCTTTGCCTGCGATGTGTCCAGGGAAACCTTGACTAGGTCCTCCACTGTTACAGGGGATTCGACGGCTGTATCGCCCATTGTGCGAGGGACAGAGATTCCCACCTGCCGCAGAAATTCTAAATTTCTCTCACTGAACTTCGCAGTGGAGCCGAGGGTGAAAGACTTGGCTGATTAATCCCTTGCTCTTGTGCATGTAGTGCAAGGGGTTCAACGTTCGTGGACGGGCGAGGTGAGCAGGACGACGGACTAGCGTTTGAGTCGCATGTCCAGTCAAGCAGAACACGAATACACGTGTAGTGTGGGCTTCACACGTACTTTCGGTAGCCTTTTGTTTTTTCACAGTTCTTACTGTAAGATATTATCTTAAGACAAGATACTGTAAATCATCTGATGTTCTTTTTTAGATACTGGATCAGTGATCTAATCTGTAGAAAAGAAGCCAAAAATCATCGCCGTCGTCGAATTTTCGCTATCGGGACTTTTTTTTCATTTATTTTTCGATTGCTCGAACTCTTGGCTCAATCGCGCCGCCGGTGACCTTTGTGCCTGGAGAGCATCGGTCTGTGAGAAGCAACTCAGAGTGTAGGTGCAGGTCGAGTTTTGCGTCAAGAACGACGCTGAGGTTTTGCAATCATGGTCAATTATCGTAACAGTACGTTCTCCTAGTGTTCTCATTTCCACTGGCTATTCCGGACGCGAAGAAGCGCGAAAGCGGCAATCCATGCGGCTATAGGACGAAGCTTTCCAGCATCGTCTTTACGTCCTGCAGTGTCTTGAAAGTTGCGGATTGCACAGATCTATCTTGCGAACGTCGAGCTAACGTATGTTCATCTTCTCATTTCCGCTCTGTCTGCGACAACTCACTGCTCTGCGGCGAATCGTGTCATTGAACAACAGCCTCGAAGACATACCGTACTCCGCGTCGTCCGTTCGAGAAGGAGCGCCTCGACTCCGAGCTCCAGCTCGCCGGCAAGTATGGCCTTCGAAACAAGCGTGAGATCTGGCGCGTGCAGCTTGTCCTCTCTAAGATCCGATCCGCTGCTCGTGAGCTTCTTACGCTCGACGAAAAGGACCCGCGTCGCGTGTTTGAAGGTACCGCGCTTCTCCGCCGTCTGACTCGTCTCGGGCTCCTCGACGAATCGCGACAAGCCCTCGATTACGTGCTGTCGCTGAAGGTCCAGGACTTTTTGGAGCGTCGTCTCCAAACTCAGGTCGTCAAGCTCGGATTGGCCAAGTCTATCCATCACGCTCGTTGCCTTATCAGGCAGCGTCACATCCGCGTCGGGAAGCAGCTGGTTAATGTTCCGTCTTTCATGGTTCGTGTCGATTCCCAGAAGCATATTGATTTCTCCCTGAACTCGCCGTTCGGAGGCGGACGACCAGGTCGTGTTAAGCGTCGTGCCATTGAGCGTCGCAAGAGCAGCGGTGGCGGTGGCGGTGATGATGAGGAAGATGAGTAGATCTACTCGTAGCGATATCGGTGCCGGCTTTATGGGATGCTCGTAATCGTCGCTTTTGATTACGAGTGGTGAAGTTTATGTTGTAAATCGATATTGGCTACCGACTTCCGAATAATAGCACTAGATTGCCTGTACTTTAGTACGCCAGCGTGAGGAATCGGGAGAAAGGACTTGTGGGCTAGTCGAATCAATTGATGCAGAAGCTCTCCCTCAGGTACTTCGGTGCCTCAGTGCTTCAGCGCTGTTTCGTGCGGACCGAGAGAACGATTTATTCGGAGTAAAATTTCCGCTACTTGCTCAGGATTGAATTTTGCTGCACCGGGAAGCGAGGAAGCTAAAGCTCAATACGATGGCACTTTTCACTGAAAGCATTTGAAGCGGTAAACAGATCCTGACCACCCCCCACTCTCCCAATTTCAAATCATCTTTACGCTTACTATCGTATCGATGTGTCCGGGTCCCGTAGTTTCTAGAACCGAAGCACGTGCCCATCGAAGTCCCCGAATATAACCACGTTCAAATTCTTATAGAACGAGGATGTCTAACTTCCAGTGACCAGGGATCGACACAAAGGCGCCTGCTATCATCGATAGCAATTAGCAGACTAGAGCCCCAGCCGGCGCACACTACACGAAGAAGGTGTACTCTAATTTTCGAATTGGTTGGTACATCGCGACCTGCAATAAAATTGTTTTTTTGGAGAAACTTGCATCTAACTTGTGCCTGTCGCTGTTAGCTGTATCGGCAACTTTATGTATCATGTGTGCAAATATAAGTGGTGAGCAGCAATCAGATAGTTCTTTTTTTTTGCGTGCAGCAGATGTCTTCTTGCACCCGATGAGGCGAACTGAGCTATGCTCGAGTTGCCACTTGCAAGGGACGGTGCAAGGTCGCAATGAAACGATCATTTATCGACGATAGTAGTCTCTTATTGTGAGTACATGTACTGCAGTTTTCTCATCTGGTGCGAAGTGGCTGCGCCCCACCTGCCAGCTGCATTGCAGCCACAGTAGAGACATGAGTGGTGACTACAGTATACGCGGGAATTGCATCTTCCAACTTCGTGGATCGGGCTCATGTGTTCCCGATCCACGTGGCAGCTGAACACAACCAGAATGTCACACGTGGCCGCTACAGTATTTTGGAATTCAGGACACTCAGATTTGTGGCTCATTTTCAGGAAATGTGACTTGTGTTTACAGAAACGCCTCCATGTTTGAAGTTTGGAGCGACATCTGCGCGTGTGGCATTTTTTCAGAGCATGCATGCCGAAGCTTGACGCCCAGCAAGTCTGCGTTCGGCAGACGAACTGCTGTGCAATACAATATTACCTGACACACTATTAAGTCCATGAGACAAAGGAGTTGAGCCCTATTGCTGCGAAAGAAGCGAGGTGAGAGTTGGGGCGACCCTCAGCGGCTTGCTGGGCCACCTTTGGTGGTACAGTAGCACGTTGTGAAGCAGGGACGTTTGGAGATTATATCCCGAAATCAGGGGCGATGATTGGCGAAAAACTAGGACCTATCTTGAATACAGCCAATAAAAACGCATCTCTAGCGATCTTCTACAGGGAGGCGACTTTAGACAGCGGCAGAGAGGCGAGATCTGGGTGAGGAGACGCAACGGGATCGGGTGGCTGTCGTGATGCGCTCGATGAGCTCGCTGCTGGCGGAGTTGAGGCGGGCGGGGGGAACGCCGCATAGCACCAGACTTACAGCCCTGGGATGCGCTTGCAATCTGTCCGCCTATCATCCCAGTATAATCCCAAATCTACCGTACCTCGTTCACGCGCCCGCCCAGATCTCCACCACATTTATAGATTTCTGTAAATCTGCACAGCGCGCCAGACAAGGGCTTTTCTTTTCTTTTCCTTCGTGATATCGCATAAATTCCGGCCTTCCCACCCGCGCCCACTCCCCATTTCGCTCGCCACCTGCCTTCTTTCGCACCATTCTACCTTATCGACTTGCACCGACGCCTCGGCTATGGCTTTCATCACTTTCACACCTGCGTCCCTGTCTTCCATCCGCAGCCAATCCCTCAATGGATCTCCCCTCTGTTCCCGTCGTGTCTTCGCAGGCGCCTCCGTGGCTGCCGTCACCCCCGTTCGCTTCGGTGCCTCTTCTATTGACATGAAGCTGCGCGTTGCCGTCGTTGGCGGTGGTCCGGCCGGCGCCTGCGCCGCCGAGACTCTGGCCGAAAGTGGTATTGACACATACCTCTTCGAGCGCAAGATGGACAACTGCAAGCCCTGTGGTGGTGCCATCCCCCTTTGCATGGTTGACGAGTTCGATCTTCCAGTTGACATCATTGATCGCAAAGTTCGCAAGATGAAGATGATCTCCCCCACTAACGTGGAGGTTGATGTCGGGAAGACTCTCAAGCCGCATGAATACATCGGTATGCTCCGAAGAGAAGTACTGGACTCCTTTTTGAGGGATCGTGCCGTCAGCCTAGGTGCCACATCAGTCAATGGCCTTGTCACCAAGTTGGACAAGCCCACCACCCCCGACGGCAAGTACACCCTCCACTATTCGGACTACGCCGAGACGGTCGAGGGAAAATCTCCTTCGAAAAGCTTGGACTTCGATGTTATCATCGGTGCTGATGGCGCGAACTCTCGCGTCGCCAAGGAAATCGACGCTGGTGATTATAATTACGCCATTGCTTTCCAAGAGCGAATCAAGATTCCGGACGAGAAGATGGCCTACTATGAAGAACTCGCCGAGATGTACGTTGGCGATGACGTCTCGCCCGACTTCTACGCCTGGGTGTTCCCGAAGCACGATCATGTCGGTGTCGGAACTGGAACTGTCATCAACCGACCGAAGATCAAGCAGTACCAAAAGGCCATCCGTGACCGTGCCGCAGTACGGCTTGAGGGAGGCAAGATCATCAAGGTTGAGGCGCACCCGATCCCGGAACATCCCCGGCCACGCCGCGTCCAAGGGCGTGTGGCCCTGGTCGGAGACGCCGCTGGTTACGTGACCAAGTGCTCCGGAGAAGGCATCTACTTTGCTGCCAAGAGCGGCCGCATGTGTGCTGAGGCTGTCATCGCCGCCAGCAAAAACGGCGAAGTTGTTCCGACTGAGAATGACCTTAAGAACCGATACCTCAAAGTTTGGGATAAGAAGTATTGGGCTACATACAAGGTTCTCGACATTCTCCAGGCCATTTTCTACCGTAGCGATCCCGCTCGCGAGGCATTCGTGAAGATGTGCGGTGATGACTACGTCCAGCGTGTCACCTTCGACTCATACCTGTACAAGACTGTTACAACTGTATCTCCTGTCGATGACATCAAGCTTCTCTTCAGGACCGCCACCTCCCTGTTGCAGGAGAACCTTAAGGAAACTGCGGACATCAAGAAGCCTGTAGCAACTCTCAAGTAGATCAGTAGTAATGGGTTTGAAACGTCGATGTCCACTGCCCTCCGGCATGTACTCTCAAATGCCGTGATATTTTTGTACCGATACTTTACTAAAACAATTTCTTCCACCAAATCAAAGCACCGTCTCCCTTCAGAAGTACTGTCCGTGAAAGTGCTCCCTCATACCGCGAAGCAATGATCCCTATTCTGCAGTAGGCTGCAGTCCTCCGTAAGTAGGATGGTGGGCGATCGACCTGTGTCTCTCAAGACTGATCTCTGGAGGTCGTACGCTTCATACTAGAGGTCTTGGATGAATCCCCTTCTCTATACATGTATATCCCAAAAGGTTTCCTTCCACAGCATTCAGGAGCAATCAGAAGCTGTCGCCATTCGACTTCGGGAGGCGAGAACAGGAGTGCACTGGCGAGACTACTGATCCAGCAAGTTTGTTCTCATTCAGGTCTTCACAGCGTCAAAGACGGAGAACAACTGCTTCCATAGTGGGCCGTTTATCAAAGCCGCAATAGATGGATCTTCGTTGATTCGAAAGTTCTCGTAAGTATTCTTTTGTACCGTATCTGGCTATGGGTGATGGAGTAGTCTGCATTCCAGGATCCAGAAAGATAAGTCTGTGTTTTAAGATCGCGGCGTTGCGCCCATGGTTCTCGGAAGTGAAATCCCGATAGAGGAATTCTTGGTTTAAACTGAATCTATGATTAACTCATCCTCTTAATAATTCTTTGCTCAAGGCAAGCATAGCGTTCCAAAATGTACAATGCATGTAGTCAACCAAGAACTCTTCGAACAGAAAGGCACAGTAGATAATACATAAACTGTACTTACAACACAGGCACGAAAGCCTTACGTCATGATATCCTCATACTTGTGGAAATCTCGCCTCTGGACCACTTCACTGACTATACATCTCATCGATTAGAGCGATCACGTCGTCGCCCTCCCCAAAATATTGATGTTCGTTAATGTTATCGGGTGGCTCTATGTGGTCATCGTCTAGAGGTGCAATTCCAGCTGCTAGTTTCGCTCGTTCAATTGCTCTTTGATGTCTTGGATTTGACAGGCTAATATTCCCAACACTATGTTGCTGGACCATCGAGTTGATGGTTTCTTGAGACTGACGAATAAGATCGCATATTTCGTCATCATTGAATGTATTCAGAAAATACGGCAGAAGATGGCATTCTTCCTTCTCCATGTGCACTGCATGAACAGCGGATAGCTCAGAAATTTTGAGGAACAGCTCGGCAATCTTTTTTGGTTCCATGTCTCGCATAATGTTGCTAATCTCATCCATCTTCTTGTTTTCCAGCATGTGATCTATGAAATACGACTCGGTGATAAGGGGAAATCGAGAATTTAGCTTTTTAAACAGCACTTGTTCCTCGACATAGGCGTGTACTGAAAGCGCCTCCGTGAAGTCGTGGTAAGCTTTCTGAAGGTTTTCGGCCTGGCACTTGGAAGGATGGGTCACACAGTGCGACACTAGTTCCACAACCGTCTGTAGCAGAGCTTTCAACTCTGCGTGTAACGCGGTGAAGTAATTATGGAACGAAGACTTCATATGTTCCGAAGAATTACCTTTGCTTGACGCACTGGACGAGTTCTCTCCGCTCAATGTAGTCACTGGTGGTCCTGGCATACCAGCGTAGATGGGCGCCCCGCACGGATGGAAGTCTACAACGCCATCCGTGGCAACAGGTTCAGATTCAGTCTTTGCTCTCTTCGTATCTACCGCCGAACTTTTTGCGTCCTTCTGGCCGTCGCAGTTGCCCCCCGCAAACTCAATGGCATACAATTTGGTGTACAATTGGCCAAGACTGGCGACATCAAACGTCGGTGAGTATCGTTGAGGGAGGAGAGAGTCGTCCGGAACAAATCCTAGGGCCGGTCCTTTGACGACCTTCATCAAATCAGCAAGTTTCTGTATCACAGTCGAGCTGCAAGTGTTCATGGCAGCACGGCGAAAAGCAATAAGCCAAGGCGGTAAAAACTCGCCGTGCCCAATCATGACGGCCGGGTCGCGCTTGCAGTTCAGGGGGAAACCACAGCTACAAACGAACGAACGCAAAGCCTCTTCACTCTCTTGCGGAAATCTCAAGGCGTCGCGCAGAATAACGAGCACGTTGCTGAATCGAATTGCTAAGAAGAGGGGATGGCGAATCTTAAATCTGATATTTGGAGCTTGAAAGTAGGCCAGCAAGCCCTCCCACGAATTAGTAATTTCCTCTTCAACGAGAACGCCGTCGCCATTCGTTACCTTTTTGATGAAGGTCCTATCCAGTTCCTTCGGTTCGAATGGCACAAAGGAATATCCCTCTGACCACCTACCTGATATCATTGCGTCGCGGTCAACGATCTTGCGCTTCTTATCTGCGTTCTTCCGAGAGTAAACAGCAAACGCAGTAGAAATAACAGACGCCAGGGCAGTGGTGTTGTCGCCATCGCGTCGAACAATCGAAACTACAAAGTGGAACAATCTGCCACCAAACGTGCTTGTCGTTCCAACTAAGCGGAGTCGCGAGAAGCGGCAACGACCGTCGACTAATTGAAGCGTCGCAAATGGCTGAGAGCGATCGAGCGATTGAATACCCGCGTCTTCGAGCTGGTGCGGTCGCTCGCCCTGACATACAACGGAGAGGTGCGCTTCGAGATCTCCGGTGCCGTGCAACGCCTGAGGGTCGGCGGTGATGAGACAGTCCGGCACTCGCCAAGTCTTATGCCATCGCCACAAGCGCTTTGTGTTGTCCCAGGCAAGTTCGCGCCCCAAGGTGACATCAAGTCCGTATGCGTTTTCAGAGTCCGGATTGCATTGCAATATCTCAGTTCCGTCTTTCAGAACAATGGAAAGTCTAAGGTACAGTCACGTGCACGCAAAAACGATTAGAATAGCGCAGAAAGGGCGTAGGCGTGAACCTTGTTTGTTAGTTGCCGCAACCGGACAGAAGAAAGGGGTTGGTAAGCACGAAGCTCAAAAACAACGCAGCATAAAACGCACCCGCAAGGCTGCCAGCCAAAGTGTCCGGGTTCGGAACCGTTTGACGTAGCGGAACCATTTGATTGTATAGGACTGCCTCGCATGCTGCGGGAGAAGTAGTGCGGAAGGCGGTGAACGTGTGCGAAGGTACACGGGGTATCGGCGGCGGTGGTGCCCACAAAATATGGGCGTTGCCCTCGAGCGATGTGCGGCGTGGTTGATGAGGTAGGGTAAAAGGATCACAGTCAGAATACAGGGGACGGGAGTTCGACGCGACGCGAGAGGGAGGGGGGGGGGGGGGGGGGGTTAAGGCCGTGGCAGTGGGAGCGTCGGCATTTTACGGAAAGCAGTGCAGCGAATCGTTGTTGACATCTAGTACACCTAATAATATTGAAAAATGTGGTCTGAGAGTCCAGGCAAATGGGCCAAACTCGCGAGCCGCACCAGGGAACCTGATTTGTCACATGTCCACAAATCATAGCCGTGGAACTATGCTCGATCCAGTGAATTCTCGTTTTCAGAGCCCACTCCGCCATTGATGTGGGCAGCTTGAGATGTTGTCAACCGTGTTTCTTTTCTCCGCATCCCCGCAGCCGAAGCACAGTGTGTGTACAGTTAGTACCCTTGATGCAGACCGTATCCCTCGTTTCTCGTCATTCTGTAAGATAGCGGTGCATTCTTCTGGTTCCCCACCCGCGTCCCGGTGAAGCGCATGATATGGAGACAGATCTTTAGAAGTCTCTCGAACTACGAACGGTCGCAGAACGGCGTTGAAGGGGGATGCATCTCAGAGTTCACTACTGTACGACATCACCCCTCGTAGATGTCTCGCGCCCTTGTCGAAGACCATGACATGCTGCTCCGGGACCTTGCATATGTACAGGTACGCATACTCTACAAGTAACACGTCGACACTTTTGGGCTGTAGCATCTACAATACAAGTACAGTACAGAAGTACAGTACTGTCTGTAAAGGATACGTACTGTAGAATGAATACCACATGATCAAATTTCTGTCGACTTTTGATGCCTGGCCTCTATCGTCTGCTCCGTTAAAGAATCGCATGCATTGCTCTGTCAAGTCCAGACCAGTTTTCGAGCATTGAGGTATCATCCACGCACTGGAGGCAATAGTGAATAGACTCTTGAGTTGTGGCTCAAGGTGTTGTCCCACGTCACCTCTGTCGTGACGTCGGCGGATGTGCCTATTTAAACGCCGGCTCAAGGCTTACGCCACGCATCGTTGCTACTGGTATTTCCGAGGGTGCGTAGATATTCGATCCACGCGGGTGAGTGGGAAAGGTCGAACTTTCGCTGTCAAAGCTGGTGATCCGAACCCGACAAAATCTACGACTTAGCGACCACCCTCAGGCTCTGGGTTATGTCCAATAAATGCAACGATTTAGTAGTCACGAACCCCGACATCAACTGACATTTCAGCAATGCTGTCTCTCTCATAACATCGTTTGCTCCCATGCAGCAACGTGTAGCCGTAAACTAGAAATATAAATCTTTGTTGACACACGTCTTTCACGCGCTTCGCTGTGGCTATGTCCCAGACAGGAGAGCCAACACAAGTAGCGGGTACAGGCGGGAATGCTTTATTCGTAAATTGTCAGCTTCTGCGACTAGATTTTCGATGCCTCCACGACAAACATTGGATCTCCCATGCCGAAAAGACCGGGACTAAGATCATGTGCTTGAGGACTGTCAAAGCCGCCCGCATAGTGGAAGTAACAGCCTACGATGAACACATGCTCTATGTCTGCAGTTCTGCACCAGATATCTATAGCTTTCGTTGGGAAGCATCGATTCGAAAATGACATGATTGCCTTGCCACCTGGCTTTAAAACGCGATTCATCTCCTGGAAAACTTCGAGTGGTCTGCTGAGATAATCCACTGACACAACATTCGTAATGACATCAAACTCATTATCATCAAAGGGGAGTTTCGGTTCCTTATTTAGGTCCTGCGTGACGCGCCTCGTGGCCCTGGGGTTTGCGTCGAGTTCTGCAGGGCTCATTCCAAGGATGGTGAGTCCCTGCGGTTCGTAGTCTTCTGGGAGATGGGAGACCCACGATGAGCATAGGTCGAGGATGTTAGCTTTTGGGGGCAAATTTTTGGCGTAGAACTTTTTGAGGCTGCGGATAGCACCGTTATCGATGTGGAGTACACCAATGCGGGGCTGGGCGTAGAAGTAGCCGTCATCGGACTCATCCAGACGACCGAAGTCCTGAGGCGAGAATGGCCACGTGAGAGGCCATTTCGGAGAGCGGAGCACGTCCTCGACTTTAGGGCCACCGGAAGACATTGCCCGACGGAAAAGCCGGTCCATGCGAATTGCTGGATGCACTACGAAGAGGAATACCACCTGCATATACCGCTGATTATAAAGATATGTAGCTTTATAGATGAGATCAAGGAGGAGATGCGGCCGAGCCGCACAGTTGAGCCGTTAGCGCACCTGCTGGCGCAGCATTGAGTATTCTGGGGCTCACGAATTTGCTAATCTTTTCTATTCCGGGGCATACTGTAGAATATCGATTATTTCCATGCCAGTTTGCATCAATTCTTTCCACACCCAATTATCGTCCTCGCTCCATTCCCCCTACGTGTACTCTGTTCTTCTGCAGTTCTCTTTCTTTTTGCCGGGCAGCGTTTTCCCCCGCCTTTTGTCGCTGTAGCCGATCCTCCTCAATGTTTTCTGCTTCCTGCGCACGGTAAAATCGCCAAACGTCAGATATTGCAAGCGTCCCCAGCTGAATCGTTTCCCTTCTGCCCATGTGACCCTTTGCTTTTGGTCCATGTGGCCTGGGAGCACTTGCATTTATGACAATCTTGTTAACGCTATCATGATTTGCATCTCTGCCCCTATTATTGCAAGTAAAGCGGACTTTTCGTTGTTGACAATTTCTTTCAGCTTTTCGAAGACAGCTTTGTCATTCTGCCCCTGTACTGCGGATGCGCCACAATTCGATAAAGGCCTTTGTTGGGCTTCCCGTAGCACTTCCTTACGAATACGATCTTTTCAAACCGTTTAAGAAACCTATAGTCCATTGGTCACACTTCAGTAAATTTACTGCTCTCTACCGTCGGTCTTTGGCCATTGCGTCCCGTCTGTCCATTTGCTTGGCACGCGCTGCCTGATGACGCATTCCAATCGACATCGGAGGGGACATGGATTGTGCGTAACTGGAGACCTGTCTCGTGAACAGGACGAGAAGGTGTTTGATCGTGGATCGAATACTACTGTTTGGCCTTTAACGGTGTTGTGTGCCCGCCATTTTTGTTGGCGGGACGGGGAGAGGCGAGGAGGCAACATTGCAGGGAACTGTAGACGTGGTGAATGCTCCAGGCCCCGGAGCGTTTCCCTGGAGTCCAGGGATGAATGACTGCACCGATTGTCCGCACTGCGCTTACCTCAGTGGCATGCTTTCGTACAGTGAGAGCAACGAGAACTGAATCACCAAATTAGCCTTTTTTACCAAATACTGTAATACTTTTCTGGAGTGGTATCTTCCATTCCCCCTGTCTCTGACCTCTACACTTTTGCGCGACTCACAAATTCGCGTACTTTCGCGACGCCATCTACGGTACACCCTTCTTCCCAATCCATCACCTTCGCACGCCAACAACCTTCTAAGCCCCACCTCACGCCTTCCAGCAGCCGTCCCTGCAGCACACTCTCTTCTCCCTTCTCTAGTTCCTCCCACCTGCCGCACTCCCCGCCGCCATGCCCCACCAGGCGCGCGGGGAGTCGCGGTCGCGTCGCAGCCCGAGCGTCACCCGGCGCGCCCGTTCCCGTTCCCGCATCCCCAGCACCCATTTATCGCTGCCCACCTTCGCCCTATTCCGCGCCTTCACCGAAGCCCTCTCGCACTTCGTCGCCGCCTCGGTCGTCCACGCGCATCCCGCAATCCCACCCGCCTTCCTCGCCTTCCCGGCCTTTCTGCTCGCCGCAACAGTGCTCGCACCGCTCTCCACACGTTCCATAGCCAGGAAAATGCTCAGGTCAGTCACGCTTCCGGCATTCCTCAGTGTTGTGCATCTCCTGCTTTTGCTAGAGGCTGTTAAAAGGCTTGGGCCGGCGCGCACTCTGCTCGCGACAACCGCCGCTCCCCATATTACAAACTTGGTTAGGCGCAAGAGGACGAAGACGACTGCAATTATCGTGATAGCTGCGATCATGACTCTCGGCTTGGTCTTTCATGATACCATTGGCGGCGGAGCTAGAGTTCGGGAGAGGGTGTTGAAGTCCCGCGCAGGGCACGCTGTCACGACCAAGCTTCAGAGGATATCTCAGTCTATGGGGCAAACGGTTCGCAGTAATGAACAGCTGAACAAACTTCGCGCGCGTTACGGGAAACCACCAAATGAGTTGGAGCAGGGACAAATCCCTTTGCGACACAGTGGACCCAGCGGCGATACGAAAAATCGAAATGAGGTTATCAGTAGACGCCGCTTGTTGGCCGTTCCAACGAAAGCTAAACAAAAACCTGCTCCGCGAGACGCTAATGTCGACAATTCATATTCTGAAAATCCAAACGTTGTTGGTGATAAGAAGAGTTCTTCGGCTAGGACTGCCTCGCAGGAGCACGCGCAGGAGGTGAATGAAAAGGAAACTGTGTTTACTGACGTGAAGCGGAACAGCGAGGAACACGGCAGAGCCCGCAATATAACCAAAACTCTCAAGAATGAGATGGTAACTGACGGCGATGCGATTGTTGACACAGGAGCGAGTCCCGGGCAATCATTGAGGGTCTTCTTCGGAGTGTTGTTTGTAGTTTTCTCCTCACTTGCTAGTTCCATCGGCAACAGCAGTCGACAGAATCTCGCCCATGATGCTGGCGACGACTATGCGGTGTCTTGCGTAACATTCTTCATGTCAGCCTTTATGATCTTCCCTTTTGTCCTCTTCTACTGGATTACAGGTAGAGGGACAGATGGTGTGTACACTCGTATGCTTTTCAGCCAAGTTGTTCCGTCTGGTGCTCTTCTTGGGTTCTGTCTATTGGCATACCCTGATTTGTCGTACACACATTTCGGGACCCAAGGAGGCACTCGTAGAAGTCAGCCTCATCAGAGAACGCCATCGAAAGGCAACACAAGCATGAATAGCTTTGGGAGCGGCTTGTTCCCACTCCCGGAGATGGGCGCGTTTACCAGAGCCGCGATTTATCCATACATGTGCCTTTCAATCGTCCTACTGAGAATACTCAGCACTACAGTCTTTGGGTTTCAGGAGCCTCTTTCCTTTTCCTCTGTTCTCGCGGCTTTCATGCTGTGCTGCATTTCTGTCTTGGACTCGGGCCAAAGTCGCAGTGATAACCGTCAAGAGCCGAGCTTTCGGGAGCGGTCCAGATCCTTCAACAGTGGAGATATTTCGTCTGTTGTCGGACGTGGCACAGCACGCCAACTTCGATACATATGGAAAATATTATCCTCTTCTGCGTTGGTATCGGTCCACAGCATGAGAGACATCATTCGGCATGCCAGGTTGAATAAGGCCTCATGGCAGGTCCTAAATTTTCTCGTCTTGCAGTCGGGAATGGCTACGGTAGAGTTGATATACGCGACGATGACTCACGCAAGCGGTCTGATATCGATATCCGCCGACAATTTCTTTTGTTGCATTTCTCTCGCAATCGGATTACAGGCGATCCGAGTCACATCAAGAAAACCTACATATGCATATACGTACGGGTTCTCCCGATTTGAAAGTGTTTGCGGTTTTGCAAATGGGGTCATGTTGATATATGTTGCCGTCCTTATTGTACTTGAAGCATTTGAGCGGCTCAAAGACACCAACAACGTCGCCGCTGGGCATACTTTTACTGTTTGTCTATTCGGGATGACTGGGAATATTCTAGGATTATACTTCTTTCCCCCAGAAAGCCGAAGAGAAAATCACAACGTTCAAGGGATATATTTGCATATTTGGGCAAATACCCTTGCTTTTGCGAGCATGGCAGTCAGCACTGCTATTGCCGCTGCAGTACCTGCTTGGGAAATGATAGACATGGTGTCAGCAACTCTGGTAGGTATTGGGATTGTCGTGCTTGCAATTCCGTTGCTGTTAAGGAGTGGACGATTGCTTCTTTTGCTTGTGCCACGAGAGAAACAGAAGTCCTTGAGGATACTCCGTGACCGATTGGATAATATCGACGGTGTCATTAAGATTTCTGGGCTAAGGGTGTGGAATTTGAGTCCAAATAGCCTCGTTGCGAGTGTTCGTATCAAGGCTGCAAACTATTACGATGGTCCAGACATAGATATTTTGTACAAAGCTCGATCTGTGTTTGCCTCCATCGGAGTTCCTGCGTCCCAGTGTACGATTCAAATATCGCGGATAGAGGCGGAAAACAAAGCAGTTGTCTTTTTTCACAAACGCTCGCAATCTGGATTCGGTGACACCGGTATTGACCTAGAAGCTTTGTAGATGTGTACTGAATTAGCAGCATAACTCGTAACGTTCGAGGGAAGAAATCAAACCATCCTAACTGTGTAAGATACAATGTCAGTACTGAATAACTAACCGTAAACTTTTGCCCGCAAGATACTTAAATCCCGGCCATGACTGGCACGATGTGAATGTCATTGTGTTCATCAGCTTTCCATAATTCCGCAGTGTCGAGGAGTGCAGGACGGTCTTTGTATGTGGGTCGGGGTGATATTTCGCATGAGAATATATTGAATGCGCTGCCCGTCATCAAAATCCGTTCACGGACTGGGACTGCCTCTGCAGCCCAAACTGCAATTGAGATGCAGAAATGCCACCGGTACGGCCCCTTATTGAGCAGCTGCGCGCTGAATAGGGTAGGAAAATTTGTTGCCAAGCCCAGCAGCATGAAAGGCGTACGAACGAAATACATATATTCCGAAGTTTGGGTTGCACAGAAGCTGGGACGCAACGTCAAGTCTTTCTTATAAGCTTTAAAAAATAAGAAAGCTAAATGTTGACAGGCCTGTCAAAATACAATTCTATCTGTGCTCATGTCATTGCAAGTCTACTGTCCAGCTTCGGCCCCTCACTTGACCGAAATTATCTGACATTGTGATCAATCTTATCACCCGCGGCACTCCAGGCACTATCTCGATGGCTGCGATGAAAGTGACAACAGGCACGATTTCATTCTATTGTTTCTGCTCTTTTGCCTGCTCCACATTGAAGACACCCATGCCCGTTCGAAGTCACTTTGTATTGCATTCGAGCTTATAAAGATCCCCCCAATTTCTTTAAGACATATCGTAAATGTGTTTTATTTGGCAACGGAAGAGCAGAAAAGTGCATTTGCTGAGGTAGCAGCAGTCCTTTCGTCAGCTCTCGAAGCAACTGCTTGTTTGATCGCCTGCTATAAGAACAAGAATAGTGTACCCTCAGCAGATACTGGTCACGACTGTGCCGCGATTCTCCTAATTGGTAGCAGCTATTGGAGTCAACAGACCGAGCCCACACGACATGTCTGCTGAAAAGTCAGATCATGAGGATGTGGCTGTCTTCGTCAGCCCTAGACATTTCGGCGGAAGGACTCCCGGCCCGAAGGCAACCGCGAAAAAAATCTTTGAAGAAGACAAAGCCAAAGCAAATACCATCGAGATGTCACGGAGAAATGCGATAGAAGAACAGTTTCCTTTTGAAGGTGTTAAATACACATACGATTCGGAACGCGGAGGTTTGTTCATCCGACAATATCGCACTACTTTAAAGGTATACTCTTGTGCTGTTCAATCTCTGGCATGAATCTGACTTACTCCTTCTGCTTATTGTCTACCTCTCTTGTCTACATGCAGAATCAGATACGGGAAATCATGTTCATAAGACCGTCGGAAGAAACAACACACTGAGCAAAGCATTGGTGGTGCTCAATTATGCCCTTGTAGCGTTAGGTCTGTATCTCTTCGGGGTGGCCATTTGGGTATTACAAAAGCAAAGAGACGGAGGCATCGCCTCCTATTCATCTCGGCATGGGGTTTTCATCAAAACACCGGTTTGGTTTGGAGTTTGCTTTCTTATTTGCGCACTTGCCTGCGTCTTGTCAGGTTATTTTGTTGGTGTTCGACACGTAGCTCCTTCTGTTGTTGAAGGTTTGGAACTCGGTGGCCGTCGAAAAGCATTGATATTCTATCAAGTCAGTGTGGCCGTGATAGTGATAATTCTTTCTCTGGTCTTTCTAGCAGCCATACACACTCTTCAGAAAGCCAACCATGGTGGAATATCGCCTGCCGTATGGCAAGACATGGCTAAGTCGCAGCCGGCCAAGATATGTCGGTATGAAGTAGAGAACAAATGCGCGGGGGGGACAGAAAACTTCTGCTCAAACCGAACAGGTGGAAGTACTGACGAGGGCTGTCCGGGCCACTACTGCATAAACATGTGCCGAGTGACGACATCAGAACCGCAACTTAACATACCGTCATGCGGTGCCTGTCTGACTTCGTTCTCCACATCGTCCGAGTTGACAAGGTGTAAAGCAGCTGAGAGCAAATCGGGTTCTGTGGGGCACTGCTTATTTCGTTTGAAAAAGGACGTGCAGATCTTCCTCAACATAATTGTGTCATCTGCAGGAGTAGGAATTGGAGTTCTGGTCCTAACGACACTTCTCGGAACACTTAGTCCATGCATTCACGCCTGTACTTCATGACGTCATCTAGATGCATCTTCTATGATATAGTATTACGCTCAAGGACAGGGTAGCGCTGCGTTCGCACCTGATAGATGTCAAATTTATGATGTCCTCTGGTTATCACTTGTACGAGAGTATAAAAGCATGTAAGTACTCCCCAAGGAGACGAGTTGCTCAAGGGTTTCTTTAACCTCCAGATCAGAGAGGTCATACCAACTGTTTGTGGCGTTGTGCTTCAGGACAACCCTGTATTTGCCCCCTTCAGCGTCCCCCTCGTGAAGAACGGCGGCTGTCAAGGTGTAAATTCCTTCTGCTTGCGTATCACCGAATTTCGATGCTTCCAAGCCATCAGATGGCAAGTGCACTACACACGGATTTTTCTCCACACCAAATTTGCTCTTCGTCAATCTCCTGAGGACTAAAAGTAAAAATGGCGGAAACTTGGTGATCCTGTATGAGCACTGCTCACTGGTTTTTAAATTGTGATGACGATCAACTCCGTTGAATTTCATGAGGACCTTACTCAATGGTACTTGCGGAACGAGGGTGCGTTCGCTCGCGTCTTTGAACAGCGGCTTGGGCGGAAGGTCCAGCGGCAAAAACCAAAACGGCCTTGATGATTTCTTTGACACTCCTGATTCGCCGTACGATTCGATACACATCTCCCCCTTCAAGCACTTTTCCAGTACTGAGGGCAGATGGGCTTCAGAAACCTTACGCGAATTATCTTTTCGAACCAAGAAGTTTAGTAACCATGCAAAAAACTTCACTGGATCCTCTTGCTTCAATAACCCAAACCGTCCTCTGCTGGCTGCAGATACCTGTTGCATAAGTTCATGAGGAGCAACATGGGCACGATAAGCAGATGAGGACCATATTTTTGCACACAGCTTGGCTAGTGCTTTCGTAAGCTCAGATTGCACAGTATTTTCGGGATCACTTATTCGCGTTTCTGAGATGAGGTCATCACCTTTGCCCGAGTACTTTTTCAGCAAGTAATCTCTTAAGGGGGGTACATGCAAAAGAAGTTGGAATATCGAATTTGCGTAGTCACTAGCTTGAAGGTTGTCGAGTGGTACAACACCGCGTAGTCGAAAGGTACCGTCAAGGAGCCGAATGCGTACCGGAACAGTGTCGAGACCTGAAATTTCAGTCCGTGAAAACTTAGGATGCAAAGCGGAAATTATCTCGGCAAAGCTCGGATCTTTTACTCGGTAGCCGTCTGGTAAACAAAAGACAGACTCTGAGGACAAACCTAGGTATAGGTGATGCCTCAATTGCAAAGAATGAGCGTAGGCGTGTGACGAGGGAGATCGCCCTTGCAGATACCTACCACAGATCAAGCAGATGTACACATTGTGCGATTGTAGTGAAGTTGAACAGATCGGCGGCAAGTCGAAGTCCAAAGCGGATCGATTTATTGTGTCCATGTATGGACATGATGAACCATCGCGAGAGTTCTGAGCAATGCTGTTCGAAGAGCCTGTCCGGGGGCGTTTCAAAGGCGGCTCTGGCAAACTTGCCATCGCTCAAAAGTTCCGCGTCTTACGCGAACTCTACCTTCTCGCTCTCGCTTGGTTGAGAGCCATTCTGTTGCTTGGTTTGCGTTTCTCCCTTGTGAGGGGGTGGGGGATATTGGACAGGGGTAGAAATTGCAATTCCACGAAACATTAAGATTTTTATTAATCTACTGTAACTACCCCAGCTCATTGGGTTTTGATATATTTCGGACTCTCTTCTAGCGCACATTCCCTCAATCCGTTGCATCTACCCTTCGAAGGGTACACAGTGTCTATCCGACAAGGGCTTGTTCTCATGTGTGAGGACAACTCTTTTTTTGCAAAAAATATATACATTAAATTGAACATTTAAAAAGCAAACTTAGACACTACAGTATTTCCTTAACGCACTTGTTTTCGCCAATAACATCTTGCAGAACAAACACCGGGATAGCAGCATTAAATACGCAGAAAGCTTAAGCATGTAATGCAGATTGAGTGCATAGTTCCTTTCTTAAACTGGCGTTTTTGGTTTCGAAGTTATTTTACATGCGGTTTTAAAGTGGTTCAAAAAAATTTCTTTTCCGGATATGTCTAAAAACGACCAGGAAGAACATGCAATTCTCACAAAGTTCTTTCTGTTCCCTAGTCAGAAGTCAAGTGCAGTAGCGGGGGTATCTTTTTCTTTCTTGTCGAGGCAGCAGTCAAGAATAAAAAAGGTCGAATAATGTCCTCATATGAGGACAAAGGTCCAATAGACACTTGTAGCTCGCAGAAACAGCCGTTTCCTGCGCCGAGCAATGGTAGCACCTGGTCCGCCGACTAGTTCGTAAGTGCGGCTCAGCCAAGATCAAACCGTAACACACCGTAGCGCTGAGAAGATTCCACTCCTCAGAACATGGTACCCAGTTCACCCCGGTGTGAGGTGACACGAGGACGTCGTATGCGCAAATGACTTCTGGAGTCGCGGTCAGTGTCACAGTAGTCAGCTGATAATTTCCTGTTAGGGGCAGCCCTCAGAGACAAAAGGGCATGTTCATGCAATTCTGCATAAGGGAATTGAGTACCGGCCTTCCATTACGTTGGCTCTCAAATTTTCGAGTGCTACCAATGTTGCAATTAAGATTGTTTTTGGGCCTGAAGTTAGGTAGCCCAGAGAGGTTTCATCCATTCCAACGCAGTCTTAATCGTCATATCGTCTTGTCAGCTTGCCTCGGACAGAAAAGGAACCTGAAAATCTAATCAATGAGCCGACAACATTTAACGTCTTTCTCTACATGCGAGACTCGGATATGTCCATATTGGCAGGTTCCTATCATAGGGTAAATGCATTCTTCGATTGTATTCTTGGATTGAAGTCAATTTTTGCTTCCCTCTCACGCAATAGGAGCAAGCTCATTCGTTAAAAGTCTTCTTACCATAAGGATGGTAGAGGTGGTGTGCGCGTATCTCATCAATGTCAAAACTCAATGCCCGAGTCATCTGGTCTTGATGAGCACAGGCCCGTGTTCACAGCGACTCTTTTTCTTAATGAGCCCGAGTCCTTCCTAGTAGATTGTGAATCAAGAATCGGAGGAACTTCGACAGGGTCTTCGTCATCGGGCGCAGCAGTAGCACGTTCCATGACGTATTTCCGACGGCCGCGCTTGAATACCCAAACATCGCCCGTACCTCTGAGGCTTGGCAAACGCCCGGCGCGATATGACTTCTTAACTATTAAGACACCCAGCCATTCTTTCCCCAACCCCGCAACACCGGCACCTCGGCCTCCAAAACTATCTATTTTTAAAGTTGCGTCTGATGCAACTACAGCTATTCTATGCGAAACATCAGCAGCACATGATACAACGGCAACTGCTCCGAAAAAGCGGGTGAACGCCTTGATTCGAGATAGAAAGGAGCTGATGGCCTCGGAAGGTGACGCCGCTTTGTGGGAATGTGCGGCAGACAAGCCATGTACAACAATACGGCCGAGCAACTTACGCTCTGCGGACTTCTCGAGATGTGCTCGAATCTGGTGTAGTACATCATCTAGGGACTCAGAAATGCCACGGCCAAGCAAGGAAACGGGGGCGTTCGTTGGGACAGGTGCACTTTGTGAGAGATCAAAGTCGTACGCGAAGGAACGTGCTGAACCCCCAGACACGACCTGTGCGGCAGAAGCGGAATTTTTCTGGTAACGCCAGGCAATTTTCATGTCGGTCGTCTCCGGCTGTTGCTGCCGCAATCCTATGCCTTCGATTCTATGTGCGTGGTTGTTCATGCAGGCGGGTAATCTTCTCATAAGGCGTTCTGCTGGTGAATCAAAAGAAACCACAGCGACCGCGTGCCCAGCCTGGATTCCTTGTGCCGTCACGTAAGAGCACAAAGGAAGATGGTATGCAGTCGGATGATCCTCCAATACGACCGTCATCGAACCAAGTGGCAACCCTCCGCCCAAAGCCACGTCAATAGAACGGAACCCCCAGGAAGTAATCGGGGATGAGGAGGTCGCTGAGGGGCGAACGCCTGTCGGTAAGGGTTGTGTGGCGTTGCTTGAAGCATCCTGAAGAGTTGGAACAGGGGTTGATGCTGGCGTGCGTTTCCGAAAACTCATGTTCGGGGTCGAACGGTCCGCTTAAAATCAATGGACCCTCTCAACCCACGACCATACTCTGAAAGCGTGATATTGCACAGCTTTCCTTTTCCCGAGATGCGGTAAGTGCCTTCACTACGAGATGTAGGCGTAAATAATACTACAGGGAGGGATCACCCAATACTGCCTACTCTAGTAGTGCATCTCTCTATATAGTGCTATACCTCCCCCTTGTCACGTGGTATCGTAACATACCCACGTGTCGACGTGTGAGATGTATCAATGCTAAACGGCATCACGATTAATTAACCCTGTGCCTAATTGTAGAAGGTTTTCCGTCACTGAAACTTGGCCCCTTACGTGTACAAGAATATTATTTTTTGGGAATTTATTGAAACAATTAGGGGTGACCGACGAGTTGGGGCGGGTGACCGATAATTAGGGCAACCCTCTTTTGCCCCCTCGCACACCACCCTCTGCTGTACTGTACAAGGGTACAGTATCCCGCAGATACGTGGTACAGTATCGAAATGCGTCCTGCTCTAGTAAGCCTTCAGAGGGGGTTTCTTCTCACCATCTGTATCTCTCCGCGTCGGAATGCCTTTCAGAACAAGCAACAGTTCGCTCCACCATCAAACTCTTTCAATGCGAAATACTGCATTTGTATCTCCCATATTGTTGCAACATAGGAGAGGAGCTCTCCCGCTTCGGCGTTCGCGAAGTGGACGGCCAAGATTTCAAACAGCGCCGTTCCCTCTTCCACGGCAAAGATGCACTTTGAAATGTACGAGAGAGGTAGAGGTGAAGGGGGTAGGACAGGCAGCTAATGTTGCACCAGAAACGGAACCATACCAAGTTCGAGATTGGCTATTTAAGTCCTTCAGAGTTCAGTACGCGGTTGCTGGTGAAGAAGACGCAGGCCGCTCGAGCAAGCCTGCCGTAATTCTTGTGCATGGTTTTGGGGCCAATTGCCAGCATTGGCGTAAAAACTTGAAGCCATTAGCAGATAACGGTTGGCGTGTTTATGCCATGGATTTGCTTGGCTTTGGTATGGGTGATAAACCAACCCCGGGAACATTGGACAGTGATGGAGACCCTGTTATGTACAACTTTGACTACTGGTCTGTGCAGTTGAAGGCGTTCGTGCAGGACATCGTCAAGCTGCATGAGGACGAGCGAGCATTCTTTGTGGCAAACTCTATTGGTTCTATGGTTACCATGCAAGTCGCCGTTGAAACTCCTGAATTGTGCGCAGCTCAAGTGTTTATATCACCATCGCTACGTCAACTCAATGTAAGGAAGAGGAGTTGGGTACAAGACATAGCAGCCCCGATTTTCATGAAGATTTTGAGCTACCGACCACTGGGGGCCTTCTTTCTAAATTCACTTGCCCGACCTGATCAACTGCGCAGAGTATTGCGAGAGGCCTACGAGGTCGAAGATGCAGTTGATGATGAACTTATTGATATCCTCGGAAAGCCTGCTTATACAGATGGCGCACTTGATGTATTTCTGGCCTTCATCATGTACGATGATGGCCCTATTCCAGAAGACTTCTTAGGCGACCTGACGCAGCCGTCCATGATAATTTGGGGAGAAGAGGATCGCTTTGAACCGATAGTTTTGGGTGAGGCTCTTCGTCATTATTCCATTATTGACCAATTTGTGAAACTGCCGGACGTCGGTCACTGTGCACATGACGAATTGCCAAGTGAATGTAATGTGCTCATCAGTGAATTCGTGAAAACTAATATTGATAGGGTATCCCCACCTCTGGCATAGATTATGCTGAGGGGTGTCTATGCAAAAAGCTGCCTGCGGGCAAAAACGTTATTGAGAAACGGCGTTTCCGTCCTTCGCATCCTCCTCTGCATCTACATCTGGTTCCCTTGTTGTCATTAGGTCCATCAAACGCATATTCAACGCCTCCATTTTCCGAATGTCGCTTTTCAGATTACTCTTGTACTGAAGGCACTGTCATTGCCGGAAAGATATGTATTGCGCAACCGGAGAAAAAAAAAAACACACACAGGGGAAGAAAAGCGCATTTTGAAATCATCGCAGTTAGATTCACCTGAAAACTCGCCTTCGGATGAGAGCAGTATCATGAAACGAAAGGGACGTGGGAGCTGTGCGTACGGTCTTATCATCTGTTACCTTCAACACGAATGCGCCTTCAGCAGCCCGATACTTAAAGCTGAATCGAGTCTAGTGACATAGGCATTATGGATGTCAGTATGAATGGGTGAGTCTCCGACTTCCGAAAGTCAACGTGGAATGCCAGCCGCTTCTTGTCCAGTGAGGAAGAGACATACCTTCAAGGGCGAGGACAGGAATAACCTCTCCGACGACACCGAAAACTCGTCCCATTGCGCTATGTAAACCATATTTCAATGGCTGCGGATAACGCGACTGCAACAACTGGGATTCGATCAATCGGACCAGAGTGAGATAACGCAAAACCTGTGTGACAAAGTTCCCGCTTCGAAATGTATCGAAATCGCACGGAGGCCGTGGCCGAATTAATTCTTTTCGTTGCGGTAATTTTCTCGAAAGAATCTGCGAGTTTGATAGCCTTTCGAGGACATTTGACACGGCGAAGTCCATGCTTCCCCAAATGGCCAGCGATGCGAAGCAAACAGCATGTTAAGCTCTATCGCAAAGCCAGCACATCCTCGGTCCGGGTAACATAAATCGCCGCCGCATCCCATGTGCCGTCTCTTGTCCAGCGAAATGTTAACCTGCACGGCAAAGGCCATTTTGGGGCGCAAGAGAGCGTTTCAAAAACAGCGCTCCGCGATTTCGTTTATCTTAGAATACAACTACGATATCAGTTTTTAAAGAAGACATATGGGTCGCCTATCTCGACTCAGTCTGCGGAGTGGCATTCTTGAGAATATTCACCCTGCCGGTTGAGTTGTTTTTCTGCAAGGAAGACCTACCAGGTGCAAAACCATTGCCGGTAAACTTCTAGTTACTCAAGCTAAAACTTTCGCCTCCGCTAGCTTCGAGATCATAAACACTCGTTCGAGCACATCTTCCACGACGTTGTCGGGTGTCGAGGCGCCGGAGGTTAAACCAACAGTGATCTCACGCTCGGGCAACCAATCTTCTACGAGCCGCTCTTCTCCACTTGCCGAGCGGCAGTAAATCCTGTTTCCTGGTCCAACGCGCTCGGGGCGGTCAACCCAAAACGACGGCACGCCGGCGTGCTCTGCGATTTCCTGCAAATGACTAGTGTTTGATGAGTTGAAACCCCCGACAACAAGCATTAAATCTAGGCTTTCCTTTTCTGCAAGAAGGTCATACATGGCATCTTGCCGTTCCTGAGTAGCGTTACAGATGGTATCGTACGCGACAAAATGAGAATTGAGATCGGTAGGACCAAATTTCCTGAGCATTACCTTCTCAAACAACTTGGCAACGGCAGTCGTTTCTGATTTGAGCATCGTGGTCTGATTAGCAACCCCTACCGCGTTCAAGTCTGTATCCGGGTCAAAGCCCTCGCTCTTGGCGTTCTCAAACTTAGCAAGGAACTCGGCTTTGTCGCCTCCATTGAGTATATAGTTGGCGACATACTCTGCTTCATCCATGTTGAGAACAACGAGATACTTTTCAGCAAAGGAGGCGGTAGCAATCGTTTCTTCGTGCTTCCATTTCCCATGGATGATAGAGGTGCATTCCTTCTTTTGGTGGCGATCAAGCGCATGCCAAACCTTACTCACCCATGGACACGTGGTGTCCACAATTTCAACGCCTAAATCGTTGATATACTTCATCTCCTCTAGAGTTGCGCCAAACGCCGGGAGCACGACGACATCACCCTGCTCAATACCAGACAGGTCTTTCTGTAGCCCCTCCTGAGGGACAGAATAAATGCCTATCTCCTTCATGCGCTGGTTCACGATGGGGTTGTGAATAATCTCATTAGTGATCCAAATTCGCCTGTCGGGGAACTTGGCGCGAGCTTCGTATGCGATCGCTATGGCACGTTCAACACCCCAACAAAACCCATACGCCTTTGCGAGTTTGACGGTTACCTTTCCACGCGACACGATGTTGCTGTGAGCTAAAAGCTCCTTGACGAGGTCAGAAGTAAATTCTCGATTCATCAAACCCTTTGCTTCTTCCCGCGACTCTTTGAAGCCCGACCGATTAAAATTATCTGATTTGATGATACTGCGACGGGCTTCGCGCTTCGATATCGACATATGCATCCTCTTCGATGTCTTTGCGGGGGAAAGCGCGGAGCTATCACATCGTGTCCGCGACGAAAGGGCAGTTCCAGTAAAGGTTGAAACGAAGCCGGCGACTGACATCGCGCTAAGCGGCCGGGATCTCGGGATTTCCGCACGATACCGTGAGTTCACGCTCTTCGAGGGACGCGGTAGTGTTTCCCTTCCGCTCGGAGAAAACGCTGACGTCTAGGGACGAATGGTTGTTGTGTGTGCAGCAGTAGGGTTCGGTAGGGCGTTGCTCGTATTGCGGTGTATTCGAGTAGTGGTAGATTTCTGCTCGCCCACCACATAAAACATCCTCCCTTCCTCTCATGTTCACACAAAGGGTTCCCGGCTGTTCTATATAGACACGTGTGAGCTAGAGGCAAGAATTCTATTTTCTATACATATTTTCGAGACTTTTCCGTAACCTTGTGTCTGGTACAGTCGGGGAGGAAAAAAGTTGTTTTTACTTTTTTTCAACGCTGCTGGACAGGGATCCAAATGCAATCTGGCTGCGCAGTCAACGCCCGGAGCTGCAACCAGGGAATCATTTCGGCCACAGGATACGGAGGTGCACCCCTACGCTTGAAACAATTACTGTACGGCACATGGCTCATGGCTCATGGCACACCATCCCTTTCCTAACCTTTTCGTAACGACAACAATAGCTTTACGCTTGCCAGGTCCTGTCCTCCAGTATCCACACTCACTCCCACCCGGACAACCCCAGAAATGGCTTCTCGGTTGCCTTCCGCGGCCTTCACCGCTCCATTGCCTCTCACTCCGCGCTGCATACCGCCAGCGCGATGTCCAACCCGCCGACCGCAATCACGCCCATCCCCGCGAGCAGAGCTCGACTCAGTACCGAACTCCCCAAGTCTATTGCTGCGCTCCTGGGCCGACTCGAGAACCGTTTCGTCTACCGTCGACCTCTCCCGTCGTTTCATTAGCGTCCTCTTTCTCAGCAACTACTGCCAGCGCGCCGCGTATGCAGAGAAACGGCTCACCCAGCTAGCAGAGCACTACTCCGTGTCGCGCAGGTTGCTCATTTTGAGTGCAGGAGTTTACTCTAATCCCGGTGATCTTCTTCCCATGAAGCTCGTAACAGCCGCAAAGAGACAAGGCATTGATATGTCGGACGAGAGGCCGTGCGCCGCATTTGAAGTATCAGACCGTAAGTTACCTTTACCCAGTTCTACGCGCGGCTGGCATTCCATCGTCGCACACAATAAAGCGATTGTGGTTGACAAAGTAATGATTCCGTCTTCTCTTGTGTCATGAAAATATCGCTGCCCGATTATTGGGGGCATATCATTCTCAAGTCCTTGATGTAATTGCAGTCGAATACTACGACTTTGTCGTCGTCGTCGATCGGCACGTGAAAGAACATATCATGGAATTGGCGGAAGGCTTTGCCCACACCAGCGGCGGTCATTTGTATGAATGGGAGAGGAAAGTTCGATTGCTTTGTAACTTTGACGGCACCATGCCTGAAAGAACGTCGAACTCGGCAAGTTCACCTTTGGACGTTCCCTCTTTCAACGCAGTTCCGGACTACGAGATGAGTATGGATATTATTAACGCCGGGTGCGAATCAGTAGTCCGATCCCTACTCACGGCTGGATTGTGAGGCTGAGCGGTTCAACTCGAGTTTCTCGCTCAGCCTTTTTAAAGTCGAAAGAGTTTTGTGCTCTGCGTGCTTACAAGACATGAAAGCTACTGTCTTGGTTGCTCGTATTGCCCTGGATTTGTACAACACATGTAAAATTCCTTTTGTGAGTTCCCGGTATTTATTTTAGCTAAAAGCTATTCATGACAACACATACATGCGCTAAATGAGAAAAACAATCGGCAAGCATATCTCTCATGGCCTGCATAGCTCATGCCACTAGAGCGCATTTATGCCTACGACTACACTATCAAGGTAACATAGAACCCCGAGAGAGAAAGCGCATACAAGCAAACTGATCTTGCCCGCTTCATTAGGAATTGACTTTTGACGGAGAGACCTTGCATCATGCTAGACATCTGCGGGTTTTGGCACTCGGACAGTAAGTCGTACTATGTATTTGGCAGTGATTCCGCGAGCGTCAAAAAGAAGCTAAAGCATCAGGAAGGAGGTGCCTTTGGACAGATAAAAGAAAGTGTGCTCTACTTTCGAAAATCTCGTTTAGTCAGCTCGACTTGTATGCTTCCGTAAGATACAGATATAATTATTGTTGTCGTTGTGTCGTGACGGCAGGAAAACAACTCAACGTTTTGAGTACAAACTTGTGGAAACCTCGATAGGTTGGCAAGAAAGTGTGATCGAAGAGCGAGAGATTGACCCTGAAAATGGAGAGCGGATGAGATGGAGTATTATACAAGATGTACAAGGTGCACGCGACATTAAGTATACAAGAGGTACACTGCCACATAGCGCAATCGGCGCCAGTGATTCACATTTTCAACTCAGACTTGAGAAACTCATTCTCTTTTGTCAAAAGTGCGTTCTTTGCCTTTAATTTTTGACCTTCCTCGACAGCGCTCCGTGCTTGATCGGCAAGTGCGGCGGCCTTCTTCATGAGCTCTTCTACCTCGGAAGACAAGTCGTGGAGTGTTCTAGAACGCTTTTCGCGAGACCTGGCCGCACTTGCGCGGTTGCGTAGGCGCCGCTTGTGAAGCATAACGCGACGTTCGTCCTCAGTCATTTTCCTGGACCTGGCAGCGGTAGTGCCCTTCAAATCAGCCATATCGGCTTCAGCCAGCGGTAGGCTCGTGGAAGCCTTCCTACGAGTTGGCGTAGTCCGTCGGCGCGGTTTTGCGATAGGGGAAGTCGGAGACATGGGGGTGGAAACGAGACGAGATGACTGTGTCGTGATGTTGGTGAAAGCTTCTTCGGACTCGATAGAACAGAGAGAGGTTTGCTCAGGAGGGGAGTGCGGGACTGTGGGCATGCCCAGCAGAGCGTTTTCGTGTTTACGGAAATCAAACTGGGCTTCAGAGAAGGCCGAGTAACAAGAAGTTGGAACAAAGCCGGACTCGCCTGTAAATTCAGGCATCCCCCACGCGGTTCCTTCTGCACCAGCGACAGCGGCCTGGCCTAGTTCAACGAATTCGGTTTCGTCCATGGGCAGGCGGGAAGATCTCTAGGGAGCAGAAGAGCACTAGAAAACGATTTTCCTTGGTAAACAAATATGCAGAAAGGTTCTAGCTAAAGGGGAAGGAGACTCTGAGAGAAGAAGCGAAGAGAAGAGAATAACAACGTCTCACGTTTCCGGGGCCCTGACGGTGCGGCTTGAATAGGAGCACATGGTTACCGGGTGCACTTGCGTTGCTGCGCAGAAATACCGCAACGGTGATGCAGTGCGACACTGCATGCATTCAAAGATATTGGAATGAAAGATTTTTGTTCGCAACAACAGAGAGATGACACCACTCGCCATACGTGAAAAATAGAAGAATTTCAAGATGGGCATCACGCCTGTTGCGCGCCCCCCGTTGGTCTCGATGTTGCAATCTGAAGGTTGAATCAGGGCGATTCTGCGATGCTGTACCTGGTTCACCTACCCATGAGATGTGGTTTGTGCAATCGAGTGTTCCTACTCCAGAAAACAAACAAACACTGGTTGCGAGACTGTCGTTTGTACAACGACGCCGATTTGTCCTTTGTTTCACGTCTTGTCACGGTGTTCGAAAACATGCAATTTATCGGGCCATGATAAGTGATGAAATGAGCATGCATACGCCGCTTTGCTGTTTCGCTCACAGCAGCGCACCGCGTGCCATCTTTGTGGCCACGGACGAGCTCTGGAGGCGGTTCTGTCCTGTAGGTTCATGGCGCGTGGCACTGCGTGCAACGTAGATTTTATGGGCCCTTCGGTGTTAGGTTGTGCAAGCGTGGTGAGAAGGCTGTCTCCTCCAAACGGCACCTGTCACGTAAAGTCACGACTTTGCATGGACTAAATTGCATCCTTGCGTCTCGCTGGTCACTTGCCTTTATGACCTTGATTTTTCTAGAAAAGTTTTAGCAATTCACGCATGCGATCTTTCATTTTCACACCCCGGATTTGAAATCCTCCACTTGTGCGTGCTGTGCTTGCGGAACCCCCCGCGAAAAGATGGGGAGACGACTGTGGACCATCGAACTACTGTACAGCTTCAGCACTGTTGTTTAGCGCCAAGAATGAGTGGATGTACCAATGTTATCACCTGCGGAAAGAGCTCCGCACCTCTGCTCGTCATTCCAATCATATCTGAGAGGGAATGTCTGAACGCATGCACTGCTTTCCGAACAAAATGCACAATGTGCCTCTTGTTTCAAGTGTAACAAAAGGCCTATCCTTCCAAGCTTCTCTGCTTGGCACTCCGCTTTCAACTGGAGAACAGGTAAATAGGGCTTTACAGTCAACTTGAAAACAATGGATACATGGAACAGAGCAGAACGCATTCGGCCTTGTCCAGTTGGAGCGCTGTATTTTTAACCTTATATTGCAACACTGTACATGTCGTATAAAAGGCGAGTCTATGAAAAAAGATAAAAAATTGAACATAAACATCTTAACCTCGAGACTGCAAGCGTGTATCACATGACTGTCCCTCAACGCACCATCTCTCTTTGATTGCAATAAATCATATCAACACAATACCGCACTGCATGCATGTCTCAAAACGCCAAAGGAAGGGTAAACTTTTCGCTCTACCTACTTTTCATCTCCTATCTGTGATGTGACGGCGGAGTTACATGCAATGGGATGGAGCCTCGTCACGAATCCACATATACCTCGTGTAGAAACACAACCTAGAGATGTTCTCAAGCATTAACTTTAAATACTGTACCATGCACGCAATGTTTCCCGTTCTGCATGAAGAACTAATTATATTGCGGTTGAAGTCTTCCCTCTTCTGCTTCCTTCCCTTTCCTATGCTAACGCCGCATACCCGTTTGCAGATTCAGATTCCTCTCCCATGAACTCCATCCGTGTCGCTGCTTCCACATGCCCTGTGTCATGCCAGAACATCTGAAGAGTTCCACTCGCCCTCATCATTCTCAAATTTCAAGAACTTGAATGCCTGTGGCTGTGAAAGTGAATTGCCGGGATGCGACAGATAGCTTCACACTGATCTATGACACATCCTTGTGTCATGCAGATGAAGGAGGGCCAAGACGTTCGGAGACAGGTGCCCCCCATAAGGTATATAACGACCTCAATTGCACCTTCGCCTCTCCAATACGAATGCTTGTAAGGCAAAAGTGCAAGCAAGGAGATGCCAGAAGAGGTCGGGTTCATGGCAAGTCACGAGGGTTGAGATGTGTAGTATAAACATTTCTCGGAGGGAAGTGTACCGAACCATGTGCGCAATGGCGCACGGGTCTCCCACTGAGAACGGATGAGAATTGCATGAGGATGTTGGATACAACACACTTCTGACAACAAAGCCATAGAAGTGTCCACTCCTTTATCATACGGTCTTATTCCTGGCGATGATACCAAGCAACGTGATGTAATGCAAGCCGTCACTACAGTACAATGTTCAGCCTGATAATCTCGCACGTCACCAAGCACTGGAGCACAACGCAAGGCGGGGCCCAGAGAGATGTCGCATATATAGCAGGCATGTGGAGGGCGTTGAAAGTGGGTTACAAGTGGAAGACGGATTCTGCAGCTACTGTGTACAGCATGTCGAAACGGTATGACGGTCGGATAGACGGACAACCTGCGCACATTTCTGTACGTATACGTGCGTAGTTTAGGTAAATACCAAACGCATACAGTACATACACTGTTTGTTGCAGACAGAGTACTGTACTGCAGTTGGCATTAGATGAGAGAGAAATTTGTGGAGCTGTAGCTGTGGACGCTTGAAAATTTTGAGGCACGAGGAGTGCTCGTGAGTAGGGAGATTGGAAAATGCGCGGAATCGTTGGGAGATGGCGTGGGGTTGTCGCTGGGAGCGATTTTCTAGGCACTGTAACTGGCGAAGTAGTGTGGAGTTGAACAAACGTGCAATGGTGATGCCAGGACTTCAAAGAAGAAGGCTGCGAATGTACTTTACTGGACTGCACTGGATTGCATTGGACTGCTGTACACTGCATGGTGGATCGATGTTTGACGAAGATCAGCAACGCAAGCGGCCGGACGAAAGGTAGAGTATGTTCGTTCATAAACGGGAAATCTCGGTGGCAAAGTCAGCAAAGCATGATCGAGGGCTTGTCCAGTCCTTGAACAAAATGAATGAAATTCTTGGAAGCTGAAAAAAAACTGGAAAAGTTTTGAAAAGGAAGAAGGGGGGCAAGTATGATCTGTCACGCGTAATGCGGACAATGATTGGACGAGGCGGCATCGGAAAGCGATTGGAACTCGCCAGATATTGAAAGATTTTCATTTGTGGACAGATTCGCGGCAGATAACATTGGCAGTGTTGTCACCCCGGCCAATGGGATGCGCACAAGAGGAATACGGATCACGACGCATATTGCGCAGCGTCTTGTCCAACTGCAGCAGATATCTCGTGGGACGCGTGATACCGGGGAAAACGCGAACACACGCCGCGATACAACTGGCGTACCGGCGTACAGTTATTACGTGGACGCTGTATCGCGGAGGCCATGCTGGCTCAGGCGGGGTCCGCCAACATGCCTGTCTGCTCTGCCAACATGGCGCCATCCGCGCTGCGGTGCACCGCAGCGCTTCGGAATGGGTTGGTGAACGGAACGGATGTGTTATGAGCCGCGGTTGAGATGGGACCAACATTGCTGACGGCAACGTCTGCAATACGCGGCGGACGGCATTCCCAGTGTTCGACATCGATACAGTACATGAACCGTACAATACGACTTGAACGCCCAGGACCTGCTTTCGCGATAATCTTGCCGTTGAGTGGACCACTCCCGCCATGCAAGCGACCAATGGTGCGTCCATGGAGCAACTTGAATTTATTACGCCTCTGCAAACGCGTGCGCAGATTTTACAAATTGAAATTTCCTTCTCCTGATGCCACCCGTCCGCCCTCGCCTGCCTGCTGATGCTCCGTGTAAGCAGGGCACACGAGCGCCACATTTTCGATATTTTCTCCCTCGCATAGGCGGCAAGCGGGAATGCTTGTTCACATCCATTCCACCGGGCCGTCTCACGGCCTGCCCACCTCCCTCGAGCCACAGCCGGGTGGCTCTACATCGGTGGCTTTTCTTCACCTGTCGCCTTGCGGGAGCCACGGGATCTGCACTCCATCTTCTCTCCATTGCCCATCCAGTTGAGGGGAGTATTGTACCACTGTACGCAGGGCGGTCGGTGCTGCCGTTATCGGCAGCGTCGCGCCCCACGGCTGACATACTGTCGGTGCATCGCGCCTAGGAGACGCAAAGTCCCATCACAGCGTCATGCGCGTCTGCGTAGTCTACAGTAGTAGCGAGACGAGTACCAAAAGCGCGGCATCCTTTACTTTGGTATCGACACAACTTCAGCGACGATCACAGCTTTCATCACAGTCAATTCAGTTCAGTTAATTGTTGAAACAACTCATCTACTTCCCTCGCTCAGCATCACCACCCATCATGTATCTAGCACTATTCCTCGTTCAACTTCTTGTCCTATTAACACTAGCAGTATCAATTCCGGCGACGGAACCGACGCCCGACACCTTCATTGCTGTCGTCGAGCGTGGTGCAGACATTCACTCAGTGGCGAGGGCGATCAAGCGTCAAAACGACGACCCGCATCATCCTTGGGTTGGCATCGTCAAGAAGACTCATCCTCACATTGGCGTTCTACTGATCCATGGCTCGCACGATACTTGCGGTATGCTTTCCTTCGTCCCCGGCATCAAACAGTGCGAGAAGGATTCAGTGGTTACTATCGCTGACTAGTTAGATTTCTAGATGGTCACCTAGGTTCAGCTGTTGACTTATGAACTAGGATATGTACATCTTCTTTACTTTGAAAGGATACGGGAAATTGGGATATACGACTGGACTGGTTAGACATTTTGTTACCACAGTGCCTGGCCTACAAAGCACTCTTGCGGAACGACGAGTACGTTGTTGTTAGAAGGATGCTGCTTGGGATCATCATGAAGAAACGGAAGTCTAGGAACCATCACACGACGGCTGCACGTAGATTAGCCCGTAAACGAATAGGCTTGCTATGAGGCTGCCACTTCCGTGGCTGGCTTCATTGCGAGGCGTCCATTTCGAAGATGAGTCACATATACGCGGTGCGGGAAACCTGTTCGTCAATCACCCGTTTTCGTTTCAGAAGTCGGACATTGCATACAAGAAACACTGAATCGTTAGTAACTCACCACACACGCACAGACATTACATATACCCCTCAACAGTTGCGAAAGCGGTGCAATACATTACCATCATCCGTCTTAATATGAAGTTCCTTCGAACTAACGGCAAGAATAATTCCCGCGTACCTGGGTCCCCGGGTCCCATTCGGTCGAAGTTGTCCGAATATGGCGACGCGATCGCCCTTCTCGTAGGTGATGTCATGGTAGTGCAATATGCCTCTCGATGAATGAATCCTGTCCACTCCACGGACGGAGAGATCTTGGGGGCGATCGACGCCGATACGGGAGGGACCACTAGCACGTTGGGAATCCATGCCGTGCAAGATGAGGGCGAGGTCGTTGTTGACTTCGTCTGGAGTGGCGGCGACTCGGAGCATGCCCTGCTTTTCGAGCGAGGCAAGGAAGAGGCGGTTTCCATCTGCGCGCAGCCGCTTGGCCAGGCGCTCCGTGCCGACGCTACTGCGGCGCTTCTTCCTCTTGGCGACGGCTGTAGGAGTGTGAGATGAGAGGGAGAAAGAGAATGTCAGCGAGGTGAAATACAGGCGAGGCGAGAAAGTGGAGCAGGGCACATGGCGTGCAGACGACATACCTGAAGCGCGGATGGCATCGATTCTCCGTCTGCGGTCAACGGCGACGTTGAGGATGTCAGTTCGGAGATCCTTCTTGGCGCGTTGGAAGTCGTTCCAGGCCTGCTGGCAGTCAACGTCGAAGTTGGCGCGGAGGTTGGCGAGCTTATAATCGCGGAGATCTGCGGCGGACTGGAGCCTCTTGCGCAGGTCCTGGTGGAGGAGGGCGAGGTCTGGAGAGCATGGGGCGGTGACAGCGGCGAGGATGTCGCGACGCTCGTTGATGATTGAAGCGAGGTCCTCGAGGAGCTGTCGCTCGGTGGCGGAGGCGAAGGAGTCTGTGGAGGGGGTGAGCGAGGCCGCGGCTGTATCTGCTGCGGCGTTCATCGGGGGATATGTCGGGGGACAGAAGGCGGGGTGGGTGGCGAGGGAGGGGGTGGGTGAAGGGAAAGGTGGAGGGGGAAGGGGTGGAGGAGTGTAGGGGTGCGGAGAGACGATGCGGTAATGGTTTTGAAAGGCTTGTTTGAAGGGTGTTGGTGAGGGCACAGGATTGTACAGCACGACACAGGACGCGGTGCAGGGTGGACGGGAGGCGCAGGCCCCGACACGGTTGGCGCAACTTGCTCAGCGAAAGAGTATTAGCCCTGACCCTCGGGTATGACAAAGGACTCTACAAGACGAAAGCGTTCGAAAATTTTCCGCAAAGCATTGTTTCCCAACGTCACCACGTCATCATATCATACCTCCGTCAATTTGACCATCCTTCATTTCCTCAGCAGATCATTTTCTCCCTTCCTCTGTAAGTCCGTCCGCATTTACACCCTCGCTATCTTGCACTCCACACCACTGTCCTGTACCACCGTGTGTATAGATCTGAACAATGCGTGCTGCACAGATACAGACACAGATACCTTCTACAGTCCGTACCGCTCAATAGTGCAGTACCGTGCCACGCGGTGAAATACTGCACTATTGGCGTATTCCACTACTTCAGGGAAGATCTCGTCAGTCACTTTTACAGCGTAGCTTTACTTGAAGAAATGTACGCTGCACACGTGTCGAATGTCGTGACAAGCGGCTTTGACCTGCACTATTGACGGTTTGCACTAATCAAAACTGCACTATTGAGGAGGTACCCTCTGTACTCAAAAAGATGCCCTCTAATTTTACCCTACCGCTCTTCGTTCCGTCGCCCAAAATTTACCGCGGTGGTACCCTACCGAAGGATACTCTCGCTGCTCGTCTTCCGTCAGCTCATCAAGTCCCAAACGCAAACCCCTCCGCGCCCTCGGTCCGCGTTAACTACTCACATCATCTACACCCTCCGCATTCTTCCCCTCCGCATTCTTCCCTCCTCGTCTCATTCTCCGACCCACCCTGGTCTTCTGGCCTGCTTTACCTTGCATTTCTTCCACCAACTCTTCAAATGACTTGCCTCGATTTACGGACCGCCATACAACTTCCGTTCCTACATATCCGACGCTTACTGCTACAGCTGCCGCGAACAGGCCCAACCCCATCCCGAGCGATTCAAACATTCTCAGTCTTGATCTGATCATGTGCAGATTGTCATGTCTCACCCCTCTACCCCATCTCCTGAAAGCTTCCTCTTCCGCATACCCACTTCGCATCCCCCCAGCATTTGTTCCTCTCTGGCGAAAGTCATACGAAGTAGAACGAGAGCTTTGACGATAATTGTAGTTTGTGTGTTGCCTTGGCCCTGACGCTGTTCCATAATGAGTCCCAAATCGCGCTCGATTGCCCTCGTCTGTTGCGTGTATACGTTTGATCTCATGAAATGCTTCAGTCACTACTTGAAAACGTCGTCCGGCTTCTGCTGTCCCTCGGTTCAGATCAGGATGCCACCTAACGTAAAACCCGCATGATATCAACGCGTGCCATAAAGAATAAGTAAGACATGGCTCTGGATTCTCTTTCTTATTTGCCACTTGAATCGCAAGCCCTGTCCTTAACCTACTTGAATGCCATTTTGCGGTACGCCTCGCGTACCTCGTCCGCAGACGCCGTCCGCTTCACTCCAAGCGTGCCCCACGGGCATGACCCTGTTTCGCCTCTGCGCATGTTTCTGTTCTTCTTTCGCAAAAACCGGCGGCTCTTTTCAAATGTGCCCGGTTAGCGTGGAGGTCCTCTCTCTCCCTTTGACACCAACGCTCACGCCCAAAGGCGACCTGGTCAGTTCCGTGTGACGGCCTTCAGCCAGATATTTTCATGGCCATACCTCCCTAAAAATAACAAAAGAGAACTTTCATTACAGTGAATTTGTCCCACAAGCACCATAATGGCACGCACTATCAACCATCTTTCGCATGTCATGGTGCGGTGCTCTGAGCTCATCATTCATCCTGTGAATTCCTTCCCGGATGCCGTTGCGACTGACGCCCCCATGCTCTAGAAGTGAGGACAAACACAACTTCCGGACATTGCCTGCGCTGGATCCAAGTCATCCGAAAAGATTCGAGGGGTAGCGCTTTTCCTTCCTGTAGCTCAATGAAACAGCGTATCGCCTCATTTCAGCAATCTTTAGCACGCTTCTCACTGCACTCTCAATGGCCTCGCTCGTGTCTTCATCCCCAAGCTCACTCAGTATCATTGCGGCCGCTGTACAGATTATAACGCAGATGAGGAACATGAAAAATATTTGTTAGAGCCTCATATACAAACACAATGTAGCAATCCATCACAAAGACGTACTAACGAACCTTGTGCAGTACACACGCGATGCTCTTCTGTCTGTCGACGAATCGGATCAAGCCATGAACGCACGCTGGTCTCCCTGATGCGAACTCGCGGGATATCGCTGGGCATGAACCTGTCAAAATTCTTCGCTTGCCGCGAAGTACCATCCAGAAGCACAAGAGTCAACGGTCCTTCCCCCTTGGAACCCATGCTAACAACTCGGTCTCGCCTGTACTCATCAAGGGTAGTAGAGCTCTTGTTCGGAAACAAAATCACTGTTGACGTGCGATTCCGTTCAATATGATCCAACATCCGCTTTTGTTGCTCCCGAATACCTCGAATTGCCCGTTGGGCTCCTGCCATCAAGCAGAGCAAGCTCCCTGTATTGTTGTTTCTCCCATACTCTCCGGCATGTTGGAATAACCAAAGGTGATGACGAGGTACAACTCTTCTCACGCAATCGCAGATGCACCTCTCCATCGGATATAGGCATTTCTGGCAACATGTTAGAGAGAGACGGTATCGACTCAAAAGAATTGAAAAACAAACGACAGCCTCTTGCCGCTCTTCCGCATCTTGACATTGTCCGATGTATGCTTCGAGAACTTCTCTTCCGTTCCATGTCTGACCGCTCGGATTGCACTGGTGTAGCACGCCATCATCTAACATTTGTTGAGCTCTGAGAGGTAGCGTATTTTTTACTGAATGCAAGTATCTTTCAACTTCACACGGATTGGTGAACGCGGCGGCATCGGTCGTTCTGGGCAGCACCGGTCGTGTTTTCTTTGCGTAGCTCGAGTAATGCCGGAGCGACATTGCCAACCTCGGGAGAGCACGCATCTTCGGATCGAGACGCAAAGTTACCGGCTCAAAAGAAATAAGAGCGGGCTACTCTCATCCTCCCAACGAACGCGACTCTGGCGTTTCAGGGAGCAATGCTGCCGATCACCTCGGCACGAAACAGGCCTATCGCCGGATGGCTAAAGCAACAGTTGGTGCCATGGCGCTGGATCTCCACATATCGACCTATTTTGGTTCAAAAATTGGATGGTCAAATAATTCTGTATTATTCAACCTCAAAACATTTGTGTGCACTGAGTCGCTGCTGGATGTTCCACACAGCATTTCTGAGAGGAGGGTACATCTTGATAAGATATGTGCTGAACAGGTATTCCCTACACGAACAGTTTTTTGGGTAGTCGCAACCATAACGAAGGGAAAGGATAAATATCATTGAAGAGAGGGCTCTCTTGCGAGACGAAATGCATGATGATGACGAAGGGCCATGCTAAGGACCTGCAATGTCAAATGCCGCAGTGCGCCGCTTATAAATTATCACTCCAATGAAAAGTCTTTGTTCCATATCGAGTGTGCAATGCAGTGTATTTCCTGAACGACTTGGTTTAAAACGCAATGCGGAACCGGTTCAATTGATACACACGGGAAGTTTGGGATACTACCGCCAAATGAGGAATTTGTCAGATGCAAATCGGGGTGACATTTTCAAATCGAAGGAACAAGTTTTACTACGCAGGATAACCCAAACGCTAATCAAACGTTGCGTGGTATGATCAAAAATGTTTGCATGCTCTAGAAGCATGCATAGGGAAGCCGACTATGTCTCTAACATTCAGGAGAACTATTGAAACAAGCTACAAAAAACGAGCCCGTTGACTCCACGACGATGCCTGCCACAGGGGGTTGGCATTACATGCTTCCGTCATGAGAGAACAAGACTCATGCTACGGAAATGCAACTAAAGGCGAGAGTCTACCATCGCCTTTGCTTTGGCCACCGCCTGAAGGAACCTCTCAATATCTTGCTCACTATTGTGGGCGTGGATTACGCAACGGAGCCGCTCCCCACCGGCAGGAACAGCAGGAGGACCGACGGGGTAAACGTTGAATCCATTTTCTACTAAACGATCACAGACTTGAATACAAGGCCTTACACCAGGCACAAGGATGACCTGAACTGCGCTTTCTCCATTTGTCTTCGGAAGCATCTCAGCAGGTAGGTATTTCGCAGCCGTGCGGTTGAAGAATGCCACACGCTCCCAAACCAACTTCCTCGCATCCTCGGCTTCCTTGGAAAACGCAAATTGATAGGCTCCAGTCATAGCCGTAATTAGCTTCGGAGGCAACGCCGCAGAGAAGAGGAACGGTCGACTATGATTGATAAGATAGCGGATGACGAGCTTAGGTCCAAGGATGACAGAACCGTGTGCAGCGAAAGCTTTCCCGAAGGTGACGAGCCTTCCAATCAGATTCGGGTGGGTGTTCATCTTGAGCGCGGACACAAAACCTGCTCCATTTTCTCCGAACAATCCCGCGGAATGTGCTTCATCTGCGATCAAGAAAACGTCCCTTCCCAGTTCTTGCATCAGAGTGCGACACTTTTCGAGCATTTCCGTCAGCGGCGCAACATCTCCATCCATAGAGTAGGCAGTCTCAACACAAACAAAAATTGTTCCGGAATGCTCCTTGGTTGCCCGAATAATGTTCTCAGTCATTGAGCTAATGTTGCTATGATCGAAGCAGTAGAGGTTCGACCTCGCTCGGCTCAAACGCATCCCGTCATGTGCAGATGCATGAACGAATTCATCAAAAACAAAACAATCATCAGGTCCCGGTAACGTGCCTAGGAGGGAAAGATTAGCGTCATACCCAGAATTGAAGAGAAGGGCAGCCTCGGCGCCATGAAGCTTGGCCGCCAATACTTCAAACCGTTCAATAGCTTTGGTATGGCCGGTCATGAGTCGCGATCCTGTCGAGCACGTGGGCAACTCATCGCCTCTGAGCCTCGTCTGTTCCAGGTACTTTTGAAACGGACTGCCTGGCTGGTTGCTGCCGAGGTAGTCATTTGAGGCAAAATCGATGGCGGATTCCTCAGGTGCGCGAAGTTCGAAGTAAAGCCCCTTGTCCCGTCTTGCTTCAAGAGTTGAAACCAGTCGAGACCTCAAGCTGACAGTCTTTGCCATGGTAGAGAATGAGATCGGGCCTAAAAATAGCTTGTGTAGTGTTGGAGTAATAGCTAGTTGGCAAGGGCGGTGTGGGAGATGGTAAGAGGCAAATGTTTCTCTCTCTCTTAGTATTCATCTTTAAGTACCAAAGCGTGCCGGCTGCTTTGCAGAAAGTGTGAAGAAGAAGACTTAGAGAAAGCATCTATGACTGACGTGAATTGTCCTGCAGTACATGACTAATCAAGGACGTCCATTCTTGCACGTTGTGTTGCACGTTGTTGAAGAAGGCTCTGTAGGAGTAGACACAGTCAAGAAGATGGAAATTCCAGCACAAGACACTGCAACAAGTACTGGACAAATCCTTGTGTAAATGGGAATAGCTCTACTCGTAGGATTTGCTTCTCTCCAAGGCAACAGCCTTGTTACAGTCAATAAGAAGAAATACGTCTTTGTTCACTCCATCGCTGTAATATATTTAAAGAGGAATTTTCTGTGCTTGAGGTTCAGTGGATGGAGGTCATCTGAGTTGATTCAATCTACCTGTATAGCGCAGTACCGCTGTTGTGTTAGAATGCTACTTGCTTCAGCAATGCTGACGGAATGGATTCTACAGTGGCACACTTACAGTTCTCATTGGCGTCACCTTGGCCTTCGATGCCATTACATCGCCTAGCGTGGCGTCATTATGCCATGCTTCAGCAGAGGGGTACTCTTCGATATCATCATGAACACCTCATCTCTTTTTCGAAAAGTGAATGGTTGTTGCACTACTCTGGGTTTCGCAGACCTCAAGACCAGTGCACATGCATCAAGGCACTCCACTCCCCAGCATTCCAGCCCTGTTCACTCTATTCGTCATTAGGAACCTGCAAGCAGGGTATTTCCGTGGCAATCGGCAATGAGCGGTGCGAAGAGTCTCGACATCCTTCCGCTTATCAACTGCTGCTTGGTAAGATGCTGGATGCAGATCGACAGATGTTGAGCGAGTGCACACTATCTCGAAAATTCTTCCACTATCTCCTACTATCTCGATTGATCAAAGGTATTGCCCAATCCGTGGGTTATTTGTAGTGCAGTATCTGGTTCTTCTGTCCGTCTGAACACATCTCGTCTACACAAAGAAGACCATTCACGGTATGTAATCACTTTTGAGCTCCAGGTCTAAAAGTTTTTTTGGCAGTGGGGGCGATGTTTAAGGAGGAGCAAAATTGCCTGTGTGGGCGGACTACTAAAAATCACATTCCCCATCCTTGCTACCAGCAGAATTCCCGCCAATGTGAATGCATACATATTTTCACCTCAATCACACAAACACAACGGATGTCTCATAGTAACAAGTCAAAATCTGAAACGGCGGTGGCAAAATGTTGTCCACAACGACTGACCGGGTCTCAGACTGACTTGAATTCCGTAAGCAATTTCCAGTTGCACTATGGTACAGTACAGTAGGAGGCTACGCCTCGGAACCCTTGGCGATTCAGCAGACGAAATACAAGGCAGAAATTGTGGGCTTGCCTTTGAATTCGATATCAGGTTGAGATCTCTCATCACCTGCTTGGGGCAGCCCTGTTAGATGGCTAGCTTAACATGCCCGGATTTATTCGTGCGGCAGCGAGACGGGCGAATGGCTGCCTCCCCAAAAAGCAAAACATGTCCAGAACTACCCAAGGGTAGAGTAATGGGACATAATGAACGTGGACAGCTCAAATTTAGCTTCTTTTTTTACTGGAGAGTTTGTGATTGCGTTCAGTCCCATTTGGTAAGCTTATTGGGACACAGTGCTGTCCTCAACTCATCTCTCGTCCTGCATGTATCAGGTCAGACAGCAATTCGGCTCAGCTCGTTTGTTCATCGCTTTCAAAGTTTCATCCCGCAATATGCATTTCATAGACATTGCTGCCAATCTGACAGATGGAATGTTCAAGGGAATTTACAATGGAACTGAACGACACCAAGCCGATCTTTCAACAATACTTTCTCGTTCGGAGAGCGCCGGAGTCGTCAAGACAATGGTCACGGCGGGAACCCTTGCGCAATCCCAGGAGGCGCTACAACTGAGCGAGAGTGAACCGTCTCTTTTTTGCACAGTTGGTGTGCATCCCACGAGGGCCCTAGAAATGAAGGACAATCCAGGGGCACACATAGAACACCTTCTCGCTGTAGTAGAGGAGGGCAAAAACAAAGTTGTTGCGATTGGCGAATGTGGTCTAGATTACGACAGGACGAAATTTTGTTCCCGCCAAGATCAAATACCGGGCTTCATTGCCCAGTTTTCATTAGCAGAGAGGACGGGTCTCCCAATGTTTTTACATGACAGGAATACAGAAGGAGACTTTTTCCGTATCATCAAGGATAATAGATCTAGATTTACGACAGGCGTTGTACACTCCTTTACAGGAACCATCCAGGAGATGAAGGCTTACGTCGCGCTAGACCTGTACATCGGAATTAATGGCTGTTCCTTGAAAACTGAGGCTAACATTCAAGTTGTCAAGGATACTCCTCTGGATAGAATAATGTTAGAGACCGATTGTCCTTATTGTGAGATTAGACCCACTCATGCAGGTTCGTCTTGGGTGAAAAGCAAATGGCCGTCGAAAGACAAGAAAAAATATTCTCCTGAAGCACTCGTGAAAGGACGTTCGGAGCCTTGTCAGATTCGGCAAGTTTGCGAGGTTGTTGCGGCGGCTAAAGGCATCGCGGACGAAGATGTCGCCCGAGCAGCCTTTAACAACACAATGAAGGTGTTCTTTTCGAAAGAGGCCAAGAATATGGGCTCCTCCCCCTTCGATCTAAGCGTCAACGCGATACCCCACGGGCACTAAACACGATACCGGTCTCAATAGTACATGCCTACAGTGAAGCGCTTCTCCGAGCTTGCGCATTCGCTATACTCTTTATGAGGTCCTGGATTTCCTCTTCTGTATTGTGAGTATGAACTATGACCCGGATTCTCTCAGTTCCCCGTGGCACTGTTGGTGATCGAATTGGATATACATCAAAGCCCTTTGCCCTGAGCGTACGAGAGAGTTCCATGCACTGTCTATTTCCCGGTACAAAAAATCCCTGAATTGGGCTGCATCCGTTGCTCGGCTGTGAAATTTCTCGGGGAAGATGTTTGCGTGCCATCCTTTCAAAAAACTCAACTCTCTCCCACAACGTTTCTCTCGCCTGCCTCGCTGGTGTTGTTTTCGCAAAGGCGTACGCTGCCCTAACAATCGCAATACTGTGGGGAGGAAGGGCAGTGGAATATATAAATGGACGGGCGTAGTTGATCAGATATTCAACCAGTAACGGTGTGGATAAAATTACTGCGCCATGTGCCCCAAAGGCTTTGCCAAACGTCACGACACGAGCAAGAAGATTTGGATGCATGTTCAATCCTTTAGCAACAGCAAGGCCTTCTCCGTTATCTCCAAAAAGACCTCCAGCATGTGCTTCATCCGCGATAACGTATATCTCCCTCTTCAGATCCAGTGCGAGCTGTTTGCAAAGTTCGAGTATTCTTCGCAAAGGAGCTATATCCCCATCCATGGAATATACTGTCTCAATGCATACGAGAACACTCCCACGGTGGTCTTCCGCGGCTCGCCGTATCGCATTCCGCAGAGAAAGGGTATTGTTATGTTGAAAGGGTGTAACATTGCTATTTGCTCTGCTCATTCTCATGCCGTCATGGACGGATGCATGAATAAGTTCGTCATAGACAATTGAATCTTCCGGCCCAGGCAAGCAGGAAAACAAAGAAAGGTTTGCATCATAACCCGAGTTAAAGAACAGGCTCTTCTTAGATCCATGAAATTCAGCTGCTGTATTTTCCAGCTTAATCACTTCTTCGGACTGGCCCGAGAGTAGGCGAGATCCTGTTGAGCCCGAGGTCTTTGACTCCCTACACACCCCAATAAAACTGCCAAGAAAGTCTCGAAAAGGCCCTGGCCTCGCTAAACCCAAGTAGTCGTTGGAAGAAAAATCCACCGCTGTGGAAGACGGCGTTCGGAGCTCGCGTACAAGCCCTCGCCTTCGCCGGGCCAGCAATGCTTCTTCAATCCTTTCTTGGAGTTGAGAAGGTGAATGGCCTCGCATCTTAGATGTATACCAGCATAGCCGCCAGTATCAAGGAAGTGGAAGGACACTCCATCGTTCACTTAGAGGGCGTCTCGGGTCCGATATGCATACGAATGACGCTCATAAACGGTGGTGCGCACGTGGGCCAAAAAATCTGGGACAAATTGATCACTGGCTTTTTCACGAATGCAGCCACTGCATCATTCACGTCGCGAGGGTTCTTGAGGGGATGGCGAAGGACGCTCGTCGACGCGCTGAATCCAAATAAATACAATGCATCACCAGCTGCCTCAGCTTCCATTGGTGCTAGAAGCAGCACTCACCTTCACTTCTCTCTTCGTGTTCTAGGGTAAATCAAGGTGACGACATGAAATGTCTTGCTCTAACCTCGACAAATGGCGACGATTCGGGAGCCTTTATACTTGAAATACCCTTTCGATAATGCTCCCGCAACGCAGCAAGGCTTGCCTCCTTACACACAGACATCAAATCTGCACCAGACTTTCCTATCGCTCGTTTCGCGATATCAGCAAGATGAACATCGTCGGCCAGTGGCAGTTTCGAGCAGTGTATTTGCAGTATCTGTAATCGCGCAGATTCATCAGGAAGGCCGACTTGCAATATGTCATCAAACCGCCCGGGGCGCAACAAGGCATCGTCCAGGAGGTCTAAACGGTTTGTTGCGCCGACGACAAGCACCCCAGATGCTGATACAATACCATCCATCTCCGTCAGTAAAGTAGTCAAAACCCGTTCCTGTACACCATTTCCGTCAGGCTGACCCTCACCACCCCTTGAGCGCTTGCCAACGATGGCGTCTATCTCATCAAGGAATAAAATGCAAGGGGCAGCGGCTCGCGCTGATGCAAAAGCCTCTCTCAGAATACGCTCAGCTTCTCCTAGGTAGCATGAATATACATCAGCTCCATTCATCCGCATAAACACTGCATGACTCTCCGACGCCGCCGCTCGGACTAGAGTTGTTTTGCTACACCCTGGTGGTCCGTAAAGTAAAATCCCGCGAGGCGCCTTTAGACCAAGCCGTTGAAAGGTGCCTGGATAGCGCAGGGGCCATTCGACGGCCATCTTCAATCGTCTTTTGACGTCCGCGAGGCCCCCGATCATATCCCAAGTACATCGAGGGACCTCAACCGCCAAACTGTCTCGCAGCACTGACGGCTTGCTCTTCGCGAGGGCTAAATCGAAGCTTTTGTAGTAACCTTCGAGATCCGGTTCGCAATCTTTAGAAGTTTGTCTGGCGTGAATTTGGTGTGCAAACTTGCACAATGCATCTAAATCAGCAGGGACATAACCCGCGGTTCGCTCTGCAATTTTGAGGAGATGTAGTCCATGGCCATTCGGTTCAAGCGCCGACAAAATGCTCAGACGATCCGATAAGGTGGGGGGAAGAAGTGAGACTTCTAGATCAAAGCGCCCTGGCCTGCGAAGTGTTGGGTCGATTGCATTCGGTCTGTTCGTAGCAGCAATAACATATGTAATTGCTGGAGACTTCGTATGCACAATGGACTGTGGTACGGGTGGGGGATCAATGAAGGAGAGCAAAACGCTTGTTATCCGTGTATTTGATGACGAAGTTGAGGTTGACAAGGATCGCAGCGGACAAATCGCGTCAACTTCGTCGAGGAATATAATTCGTGAAGAGGCAGCAGCGTGATCTTGTTCAATGTCTGTAGGTTGTGTATTGCCTCTGAAGGCATCATGCAGTTGCTGAATCACATTTTGTCCCGGCACAACAGTGAAGACCGGCAGAGCCAACTTCTCCGCTGCCAAATGGACTGCCTTCGTCTTTCCAACTCCAGGTGGTCCAGAAAGGAGGAGCGCGCGGGGAGGCGTGGCCCCATAACATTCAAGCGCTTCACGGTCAACGTTGAGAAAGCTAAGCACGGCCTTTAGAGCGTCTGTCTCTGCATGTCGCGACATGTACGGGCAGACTCGTCATGGGCGCCGCGCACCCAAAATCTTTACCAAGTCACAACGCATCCTTCGGGATTGATAATGTCAAGTGGAAATCTGCGACGCAAAAATTGCAAAACAGAATTCAACGATCCATCTGAGCACAGTAGGCTCAACCAATTGCGCGAATATAGCTCAGTAATTTGCGAGGGGTTAGGGCGAGAAGGTGCCCAACAGAGTAGAACACATACTGTACATGTTTTCGGGCACAATACCGGAGCCCATCGCTGGGCGAACTGGAGGCAGTAATAGGTGATACTTGCCTCCTCTGTCTGCAAATATGAACTCCGGGGCAGCTACAACTGCCCAGCAAAAAGGACTTTTTGTGGTGCAGTCAAGCGATTGAGAACACCAGCAATTTAATGTAGACCAGGCTGAATCACACAGTCTTCAATAAGAGTCAAGAGTGATATAGGTGCGACGTTTCCTCTGCGCTTTTCTGAAAGCCCAGGGGAAATGTGCCATTCAGAAGTCAATTCCCGGCTGTGATTGCACTACGAAATGGAAAAAACAACTAAACGCCCACCAAATTCCACACATGTCTGATGCTTTTCTAGACTCCCAACCTATTTTTTTAGCTATAGCAAGTTTTAACTACTTCTTGTTTGTAGACGCTTCTTACTTCTCTTAAATATGGACGTGACAGAATATTCTGAGCAGAAGCGAGTGCTAACATTAGTGTAGTCTAATCCAGCATTTGCGGCGCGTTCCTGCCATTATTACATGATATATCAAAACAACTCACGACAAGGATGCTTTTCCGGTTGAGAGCTTTCATAGCTACGGACTTGGAACCCATGAGAAGACATGAGAGACTGAAAAAGGGCCCACACGAATTCTTCACGGTCTTTGCATGAATCTGACATGTGACATGAGTGGAGGGATGCTAAGACACGAAATCCTTCTGCTACCAGATTCTCTTTGTGTGACACGCTGCCGCTCCGATTAGAATAGACCTGATCAAAAGGTAACAGTCATTCCCAGTTTAATCGAAAGAGAGCAAGGGCTGTACATCTTTGATGCTATTTTCATTGAAACGTGTATGCATCTACCGTAGAAAGCCGGGGCAAAAGTACCTGCTATGCCCATCCCTAGCATGCAGGCGCATTAGCATGACTTGAGATACTGTACTACCGTATTTCCTGTTGCTACTTGTCTTAGGGGGCCGCAGACATCGCAATGACACAAGTGATGGGGTGGTTCTGCGATGCATAATGAATTTTCTGCCTTTTATGTGTTTTTTCAACCCGTTTGTCCTTTGACAGGATCCTTCCATTCCTGAGGGCCATCTGTACATTTAAGATAGTGCAGGGGTTGCTACTCTTTCAGTCGTAGCAAATGCTTGCAACGGTGCCGTAAGCTTGATATAGCCTATGTTGCCAGATGGATCAAGATCAAACGGCAAAGCGCGAAGCGAACAACGCGATAAAATGCGCTGCGTGCGTGGGCAGAGAAGCGTCTCATGGATTTCTGTAATAGTTCGATATATTTGAGTGTGTGCCTTTGGCGACAGACAGTACGATGTCACTATCCGTTAAGCCTGTTGAGAGTAGTCTTCCCAGGATTATGTATGTTTTAATGAAACAATTTGAAGACTGGCACTGGTCTAGACATTGATAACACATCCTGGAGCTTCGAGTGGGATATTGGAGAAGAGCATGTGGCACGAGTCAACATGCGTCTGCCCGCCAACCAGGCTGTACTGTCAGATACAGCTTGCGCGATGTTTGCGTACCGTCTTTGTGTGTAAGGTGTAGCGGTCTAAACACTGCAGGCTAATTTTATAGGAGCCATTAAAGTAGCCTTGGTGATCTTCAAAGGGATCAAGCGCATCATTTTTTCCTTCATCCATGAACGTTTTACACGTAATTGTACCCGTATCCATTCATTTTCACAGCAGGAATGGCGCATCAATATCGGCAACTTATCGCGTCGTTTGCCCAATTCGGGAGAACTGTGCTACGAGTCCAATTGCAGGCTATCTTTGGGAAAACAACTTCGAGGTCACAACAAACTACAGCGTGTGAAGAGACGACTCAGGCATTCCACTAAGGAACACGAGAGGCAGGGAGGCGTGCAGCGGATGCAGTACGTTGTCAATCTAGCAGTCGCCTGAAAACAGACCTCAATCTGGTAACTTTAGAGTATGATGGCACGGGTAGTAGTCTGGGCGACCTTTTAGAGAGATACTTATGCCCCACCCTGCGCACAATTCCAGCAGTCTCCTCGCCACTCAGTGCAGGGCATGGGAACATGTCTGTGAGAATCACTCAAAGCATATTAGCTGAGCGAGCATTCGTGAAGCCTACAGCCGCCGCATACTGTACCCTTGGTACTGTTACAGTCCGTGCCCAATACTGTACCCTTGGTACAGTATTGGGCACGGACTGTAACATGTTATGCACTGGAAGCTAATTTGTTGGAACTGGCTTGTGTGTGTCGCAAATTAGGGTACTGTACCGGGATTGATGTGCTCCCAGGTGGGGGAACGCGAACTCAGCGAAATTCCTGTTTTGGAAGGGTTCGTAATGTGTGACAAGGTGCTGCTGGTTGCTGCCAGCGGCACGGCAGCTTTGCAAGGTGCAGAGAGAGGTGCGGCAGCGAAGTGTGAAAATATGACAGACGGAGGGCGGCCACGTTTTTAGCACGTGTACAGTACCATTGGATAGAGCACAGTATGTGTACTTCTGCGCGGGGTCCCTGGAAGGAACACCTCAAGAGGCACGTTTTGTCCGCACATCGTACTCATATTGCAGCACACGGAACAGGTTTGAGGCCCTTCAAGAACCGTTTCACACTCTGCGTATCCTTGGACGCATGTAGACAGCGATACAGAATATCTCTGCTTCATCTGGTACTGTACTACCGTTTTGTATCGGAATACGGGTCTCCCAATCCTCAACCTCACTGCAGCTACCCCACTTCAAGTGAACCCTTACTGCTTGCGGGTGTGACAGCAAAGTTTAAGTACAGTATTGCTATCTAGCCTCACGAAGTGCTTGGAACATCGCTTGTCGTTGGCTTTTGCGTATGCGGAAGGGCGCTCCCTGTGTGACTCTGGGGATACTGTTTTCCCAAATCACTCTTCAAGCCGAAACCGCATTCTTGTTCGCTGCCGTTACACGATGGTCAACCTTGCCCACCTGACACCGCCCGGAGAGCAACCGGCTCCCAATCACATGTCCGATGGCTCCGAGTTGTTTCCCTTCCTATGGCGCTACTTCCTCCATCATGATCCCTTACGCGACTGGCTCATGCGCTCGGAACCCTTTTGCACCACCGCCGTGTCGCCCGTCAAAGTTGCACAAGGCATCGCCTTCTGCTGCAACTTTTCCGTCCCGCCGCAGTGGGAAGATATGTCTGAAAGCTTCGACATGGGCGAAATGTTCGTTCCCAGTCACGCCTACTCCCACTTCATGTGTGGTACCGTCGTCGCGGCAACTTCGTACCACAAGCACCTTATCTGCGCTCTTGGGCCTGCCGCTGCGCGTGATGCCCATGTGTTACCGTCTTACCAGACCAATGTCCGACGCATGGTTGTTGATATGGGCTCCTCGCGTTCGATCAATATCATTGAATTTTCATGGATGAACGACGGGGCCCTCATCGTTACGGTCAAGATACTCGTCCCGCCGGACCCAGCGTTCCCTGTGCGAGCTGCTGGATGCACTGGAGCGTTTGCCTTGTTCACAGACGTTTTTCCCGCGGGGCCTACACCGCTGGTTCCGCGGTCGCTAGTGAGTTTCATCGAGGTACCTCGCTGCCCAGTGTGTATCGCTTCTGGATCTCTTGGTTGCTATTGCAGTCACCAGGCATTGGAACGCTTTGCTCAGTACAAAGATGAACGTTCGTCCGCAGTATGGCCACCCCGTCTTGTACAAGATGTACAAATAGCGGGTATTGACACATACCACAACATCCGTTCGCGCCTTGATATGATTCAGCATATTTCACATGTGAAGGTTACGGCGCATGTCGTAACGGGGCAAGACGTGATGCAAGAGATGGGGCCGCCTGCGAGAACTTACAAGCTTGGACCGAGTCGCTTTGTCATCAGAGCGGTACTCTTCAGGCCTGCAACCGGATATGAAGCAGATTCGTTGCGACAAGTAGCTGACGGTTTTCGCTTGGTAAGGTCAGGAAGTCTGAAAGCAACCAGGGCGCTTCAGGAGTTGGAGCACGCGCGATATGAAGTAGCTGAGGCCGGCGTCGAGGAACAGTTCGAAGATAAACCCGAGCAGTCTACTCAAGATGACCCTCATGAATGGAAAGGAGCAAAGATAACAGATGAGACTATTGCACCACCTGTAGAAATGTTCGATTTGCAAAAACGGCACCCACGAGAATACGAGACTGTGATTTCTGGCAGGAGTAGTCATGTGAGCTCAGCATGCCTTGCCTGCGAAAATCCAGTACCGATTGATGGGATAGTCTCCCACACATGTTCTCGAGCTCGGAGTTTGGGGTTTAGCGCGGTATCTGGATCAAAAGCGGGGAACGCGTTGCTACCCGGTTCTCTTGTCACGGAAGAGTTGTCGGATCATTCGTTTCTTACGAAGAAGATATCTTGCCCGTTATGTGGCAAATCCTTCTCTCAACAGGGAAGTCTCAACAGGCATTTGAAAAACGTTCATCAGGAGAAGAAGATTCTTTGCCAGTTCTGCAATTTGGCGTTCGGTCAAATGTTTGATCTTAAGGTAAGTCGAGCAGCATCTTGCGTTACACCGACGGGTGAGAAATTGGTGATGCGTGTCGTCGGATGCGAGTAGGGGAAATTTTGAGAAGTTGTACTCACCATGATCCTTTTCGCTTGACGACTATGGCTTTCGTATGGGCAGAGACATCAACGGAGAAAGCATTCAGACAAGCGCGCTCAAGTCGCGCGCCGTGAGCGCACCGACTTGAAAGCGCTCCGGATCGCGAAAAGCGCGACAGTTAACTGATGTAATAATTGCAACGACTACCCGTTCTTTGGACCTTCTCACACGCGACATTTGCTTGCTTTGCTTTCTCTCCATCTGTCTTCTCCTGTTCTTAACAAGTCAAGACCCTCTTTCCGATTGCGTCTCAAAAACAACACGCGCAGTGTATGCATACGGCATGACACCTCATATCTTTCAGCTGTACTGTTAACCTTTTTCCACTTTTGTCTGGCGCTTATCCACCAGAGGGCATCACAGGGATGGGCTACACCATGAACGCAGTTCGCGCTCATCCGCTTTCCATCCGGGCACGCAGCGAAACTTATGCTGGTCTTCTTCTGCTTCTGCTTGGACTTACGATATTAACGTTTCGGCCGTGTCCGGTCTCAACTCCTGGAAACCATCGCATCATCGGTGATCATCTACGCACAGGTGGCACCGGTCCGCTTCCACCATCGGTCAGTTATGGAAGCGCACCCGAGGACGGTCGCCTCCACAAGGGATGGTGGATGGGGCATTTTGCAAATGGTAATGCCCAACGCACAAACGACATCGAGGCCAAATGGATCAAACATCCTGCCGGAGCGAAGAAGGAAGGTTGGGCTTCCAACAAATTCGCTACTTCCATGGCAGTGCTTGTTAGTGGGAAGCATCGGCTGGAGTTTGAAAATGCTTATGTCATTCTGGAAAATCAAGGAGACTACGTTATTTGGGGACCAAATATCCAACATTCGTGGACGGCCCTTGAGAAGACAACTATCATGTGCATTCGCTGGCCCTCGCTTCCAGCAGACCAGCAGCCCGCCGCACAAAACTTGACACACTTGCCAAGTTTCAGGGTTGTTGGCGCTGTGGCTTCGAATCAGACTGGGTTTGCAATTCCGAACAGTACTGCTGGGGAAGAGAGTGAGTCTCATTTGTGACCAATTTCCGAATTCGAATCTTGCTGAGTGATTTCGCTTGCTAAATGGCCTCCGCATTCAATACCGAGCCTCCCAAAGAGCTTATTCCTTGCCGGAATGAACTGCTGCATTGTCAAAAGTATGAGGTCAAGAGCATCTCTCCCACAGACAAGGCGATATATCGAACACTCTGAATGGTTACACATCTGCATCAAGGATATGCGTCTAGCCAAATGTCTCGTCGCGCGTTTACTGCATATAGTTATGTTTACTCAGTGTAATCAAACGTAGCGATGCAATGCTCTGCTGCAGAAAAATTATTGCTCCCTCCTAAAATCCGGTTCTTATTGCCACAGTTGCAACACCTCTTCTCGTTTGTGAACCCTTTTCGTTTGCAGTTTTATTGTTTCTCACTTCCTTCCAGCTCCAAAACTCGCCACAGTATAGAAAGATTACCAGTCACCCTTTTAGGTAATCCTTCACTCGTGAGGCATCATCTACACCAATTGTAGGCGCAACAAATATCTTCAAAGATCTTGTTGATAGCTCGCTTTATGTTCGTGCCTGATGATCTTGGACGCGGAATAAGGTTTACCGTCTAGGTACTGTAGATCGCAGCCAACATTTGCAGTTTGTGTACGTGTACAACGTTTCAAGATATCTCACAGGACATCAAGAAACTGGCTTTTCTTAAATTAAACTTTTGATTTAAATTCAAGAAAAACTCCACGGCTGGAGCACATAGCTGGAGGCAAGTGAGCATTGCCGCCTCCATCCAGATTTGCTACCGCTACTCACCTGAAAACATCCCCATCAGCGGTCAATTCCCCAGATCTGCGTGTTTCACACGACAAGGTTCGCACATCCGCGTCTCCTCACATTGACTTCCAATGGAGACCGATGCGCTGGCTCCCAATGTCGACGAGGCCAGGCAGAACGCTTTGCGCGATTATCGTCGCGTGCTCTTGAAGCACAAGGAAACCGATGCGAAGGTATGTTCCAATTGCACTACAGGTTTAGAAATTCCGCTTGGAGGCCCTGAAGAATTCTGACCAATCTATCATCCTTTTGTCAATCGCTGGGTACATATTAGCTGAAAACACTGCGAGGCGAGGTGGAAGGGAAGCAGAAAGCCCTTGACAAAACCGAGGATGACCTCAAGGCATTACAGAGCGTCGGCCAGATTATCGGCGAGGTGTTGCGTCAACTTGATTCTGAGCGCTTCATCGTAAAGGCTTCCTCCGGTCCTCGATATGTGGTTGGATGCCGAAACAAGCTCGACAAGGAGAAAATGGTACAGGGAACCCGCGTTTCTCTTGACATGACGACACTCACCATTATGCGCCAGCTTCCTCGTGAGGTTGATCCGCTTGTGCATAACATGCTTGCGGAAGATCCTGGAAGCATAAAGTACAACGAGATCGGTGGCCTAGGGGAACAAATTCGCCAATTGCGGGAGGTCGTCGAGTTGCCTCTTACAAACCCAGAGCTGTTTCAAAGAGTGGGTATCAAGGCACCCAAGGGAGTCTTGCTATACGGTCCCCCGGGAACGGGTAAGACGCTTCTTGCAAGAGCTATATCAGCAAATCTTGACGCTGCGTTTTTAAAGGTTGTCGCATCAGCCATTGTGGATAAGTACATCGGAGAAAGTGCGAGGGTTATCCGAGAGATGTTCAACTACGCCCGCGATCACCAACCATGCATTATTTTTATGGATGAGATCGATGCCATCGGGGGTCGCCGATTCTCGGAGGGTACCTCAGCGGATCGTGAAATCCAAAGAACTCTTATGGAGCTACTCAATCAGCTGGATGGATTCGATGAACTGGGCAAGGTCAAACTCATCATGGCGACTAATCGCCCTGACGTTCTGGACCCTGCGCTGCTGCGACCGGGTCGGTTAGATAGGAAAATGGAGATTCCTTTGCCGAATGAGCAAGGACGTCTCGATATTCTGAAGATCCATGCAAGCAAGCTTACAAAGCACGGCGACATTGATTATGAAGCCGTAGTGAAGCTGTCAGATGGGTTCAACGGGGCCGATTTGCGAAATATTTGCACGGAGGCAGGTTTGTTTGCAATTCGTGACGAAAGGGAATATGTCATCCACGAAGACTTCATGAAAGGTGTTCGAAAGCTGGCGGACAAGAAGCAGTTGGAAGGCAAGCTCGAATATTCTAAGAATTTCGGCGGCAATAAGTAAACACTTATATGTAAAATATGAAATTGTGGCTACGTTGCCAAGTGTCAAAAGTAAGTCAGGGATGGGTAACGGTAAATGCTGTGGATGGCTCGTTGGTATTTACATGTCGTCTTGCGAATGAACCTATGATCACGTTGCCCATGGTAGCGATCAGCTTGTAATCACGACGCGGTCTTTTTCATTTAGTACGGTGCCTGTTCGGGAACCTCAGAATCCGAACCCTTCTTCGGAAATGTGAGGCGATTCTTCGCTGCATGAAACAGGAAGTTTTCCGTGTCTCGAGGAGAAGTTGTTCCCCCAAGAGCAGTGACTGTGTCCAAGGCACGGTCCTTCTCAGTTGCATCCTTAGTGAAGGCATCATGGTACAAAGCCATATACACATGAGAGGTAACATCGTCTTTCTCGTCAGCCTTGATGGCATCCGAAAGCTCTTGTTCTGCAACTGAGACGTCGCCATAAATACCCAGCGCCGCGGCGTGGTACAAATTTAGAAACATTTTCAAGCGGGGAGTCCAGTCGTATTCCCTCCCAAGCGCTTCAAACACAACTCTTGCGTCCGACGCTTTCATCACACCATCAGGCCCATGCCTAGCAGCAGCCGCCAAAAACCACAGCAGAGAATGTTGAACATCGTTTGCCATAAGCTCTATCTGAGGCACAAGGCTGCTCCTCGCGTCCTTCACATTCCCCACGCAATACTGACATATCGCCCTCTGCAGCGATGCAGGTGGTCCGTTCCATTTCGGCAGATGGTCCTTGAAGTTATCGTAGAACCAGTGGGTAAAGTGCAACTGATTGCCCGCCGACTCATAATACATGGTGAGGGCGATCTCAAAGTACGTATTAGCAGCAGCGACCTGACCAACTTTGAAGGAATTATACCCTCTCCTCTCCCAGATTTCCGGTACTCGTCGCAATCCGCTGGCATCGTTTGTCTGTGCGTACTGTGCCAGGGCGAGATGGGGCTGTCCCCAGGACTCGTAGGCAGCGCCGCGCAGAAACTGGGGCCAGGGGTCGCCCTCGTCCATCTCTTCTTCCCGTTCGTATTGATCGATGAGGCCGAGCTCATGCTCGATGTTACGGAACGGAATATCTGCCCATTTGATCGAGTTAGCTTTTAAGCGGCGTTGTAGCTCCGCCTCAAGCTCCTCATCGGACTGTGGGGTGTTAGAGTCGTTGGGTACGGGGGAGCCTTGCTCACCAGAGGTTTCGTTCGAGGAGCAGCAGATCAGCGGCGAGCGGCGAGGACGTGTCGGACGGAGCTGGCGGTTTGGTCGCGCGGATAGAGTCTGTCTGGTAAGCGGGATGCTGTGAAGGAAGGACTGGAGAGGCAGTGGAGAGGAGAATGCCAGCGCCATGTCAAGTCAGCGAGAAAGGGAGAGACGGGGGGAACACGGGCACTCGAGATCAACGTAGTTGTGCAACTAAATCGTGTCGACAACGGTTTTGCGTACCGGTTGCGGATACAAGCGTAGAATGATTGACGATTTTTCGATCGATTCTTTCGCGGGCTTTCGATATCTCGCTGCAGGGGAAGGTGAAGCAATTGTCTGCTATCAAAAAAAAAAAGTGGGGAGTGGCAATGAGCTCCTTCCTTGCAACTGTGCAACTATGCCACTGTTTATCTCGTAAAGGAATGGATCATGGATCTGCGGATGAGCATTGGGCAATGAGAGATATTTCAGTTTTCGGGCCGAGAGAGCAGTTGTCACGTCATCGGGTTGTTGTACAATTGCATGATCGGGGATGAGCTCGGGGCCAGTAAATGAAAATTGGCCAGCCCAATTGCAAATTGTCTTTGGTTGTTGTTGGATCCAATCCAATCTGAATTGGATCGCCGGAAGTGAAAATATTTTGCGAAGGTTTGTGAATTTTGCACTTGTTGTTTCAAGTATTTGAGGTATGTTTTGAGGATCAGTCATTTTGGAGGAAATGTGGGGAAATATAGCCAATAAAGAAAGGGAACGGTGGTCGAATTGGAAGTGCTGAATCCAGTGTCAGGGGGAGTGTTGTGTCAGAAGTAGCAAGTGTGGTCTGGACGTAGCGATTGCCTCATTCCACTTGTGACCCCGCTCCACGCCCGCCTTGAAGCGCGTCCCGTCGCACCCCACAGCCGTCGTACTACTGTCAATGCCTTGCGTGCCCCGTCCGTCATCTTCACGCATAACCTCCGTTCAACCACTCCCACCGTCCCGATCCCATCCAGCGCGCGTCAGCGTTTGCGACTACTAACGTTCCTGGCGCCATGGGTCTCACCATCTCGAAGCTCTTCACGAGCTTGCTTGGCAAGAAGGAGGTCCGTATTCTTATGGTCGGGCTCGATGCCGCCGGTAAGACAACCATTCTGTATAAGCTGAAGCTTGGAGAAATCGTCACTACTATCCCCACGATTGGCTTCAACGTCGAGTAAGTTTTACGCATTTTTGGCGAATGGTTAACGCAGCTCGCACCCTTTGTCCGTAGTGTATCGCCACTCGACGGCTAGCTGGTATTGTGTGGAAGACGTTGGTTGATAGCGCTTGTTCCCCTCGTCCTCGGCAATTCGCTTCTCAGTGACGCCACGAGATGCAATATCAGAGCTGGAAGTCGTCGGTCTGCTTTCATTCGTTGCTTCGCAGGACGTGTCGTGCTACGCGGCCTCCTCACGCCGTGGCGTGCCGTCGCATCCAAAAAAATTTCTGCGGCACAAGTGCATCGCATACTGACTCTATCGTTAATGTTGTGATTTTCATGTAGGACTGTTGACTACAAGAACATTCAATTCACTGTTTGGGATGTCGGCGGTCAGGACAAAATTCGCCCGCTCTGGAGGCATTATTTCCAGAACACTCAGGGTCTCATTTACGTTGTCGACAGTAATGATCGCGATCGTATCGCAGAGGCCCGTGATGAGTTGAAGAAGATGTTGTCGGAGGAGGAGCTCCGAAACGCCACAGTTTTGGTATTCGCTAACAAACAGGATCTTCCTAACGCCATGGCAGTCGCCGATCTGACTCAAGAGCTCGGCCTTCCCAACATGCCCAACCGCAAATGGTTTGTTCAGGCATGCTGCGCCACGAACGGAACTGGGCTTTACGAAGGTTTGGACTGGCTCACAGAAAATCTTGCGGAGTAATCCATTCCTAGAATCTAGCGGCAATAGCACTTCTGGGCAGAGATAGGGTTGCTCTGTCTTCCTTTTCCTGGCGGGGTAGAGGAGAATTTGTTGAATGAACAAAAAGTATCGTCGTCATGCGCTGGAATCTTCTATTACAGATGCAGTTCCATCCGAGAGAAGTGGGCATTGGGTGTACCCGACTCGGCCCATTTCAGCTGTATTTTGCTTTCTTTCCGTGTCCATCGCATGCCTTCGGTAGTTTTGATCAAGTTATTTTCATTCGTGACAAGTCAATATACTTCTTTTGGTTCAGATTATTTCTGCACAGCTAGTAAAGAAAGTTCGTGGTTTCGACACGAGGCATGCAACGTTTCTTATCCGTGCGGTTGCGACTCGTTACATCCCTCGGTTACGCCCTTTGCGTTCTGGTCACGTCTAGAATATTGGTCTGGCGACGTATCCGCAGATTTGTGCTAGAGGCTTTTCGCACACAGAAGGAGAGTCACTTGACGAGAATGCATGGGATTATTATGTTAACAAAGGAAGCGACATGAGTTTGAAGTAGATAGATAGAGTTTATTGCGAGGTGATGCACTCGAGTAGATGTACAATTAGTATGAGGGCCTATGGAGGAGCGTTTCTCACCCCACGAAGACAGATGCTTCATAGATGAGAAACTCGGCTGAACCACTTTCAAAGCCAGTGCGGCGGTGATGGTTATGAGAGGAAACCCAGGATATCACCGTTGTCCTTCGCCTGACGGATGAGCATCTGGCGCATCTTCGGGCCAGCGCCAGTGAACTCGCAAAAGGCAGTGATGGCCTGTGAGTGATACTTGATTCCCAGCCCTCGGACTTTGTTGAGGCGCTTTTTGCCGAGCACAAATCGGGTGGCAATGACGGCGGGGGTAAAGGGACCAAACTTGGCCTTTTTGTTCATCGTCCACTGAGCGGTCTGAGGACGCTGCGCAGTGCAGACTGCTGAGCCGGCGAAGGCGGTGCGCGAGGAGGCGATCGGGGTGGCGGCGACAAAGGCTGGAGAAGTCATCTGTGCGTGAAAGTCTTGGTACTGAAACGAATGGCGTTGAAGAAGATGCTTTGGCGAGAAATGTGGTGTGTGGGTGCAGTTGAAGCGATGAGGTGTATAAGTTGAGTTCGGAGGTGGTGAGGTGAGGAGCAGAACGGGTAGTGGGTGAAAGTCTGTTGCTTTAATAGAACTAGACTCTTTGGGATGAGTGCGTTTACAACAGCAGGGCAGGGATCAGCACGCGGTTGATGGGAGAGAGTTGCTGTTTGCAAATGCGATGCACAAGGATGGTGCTGGGAGGACTGATGCCGTGTGACAAATTGATCGATTTGCGGTGCAGAATGAGAATCGGGGCATGCGAGCGTCGCGCCTGTCCAAACCTGTACCGCCGATGGGCTCGTTCAATGGCTACGACATGCGCTCAAAAAAAAGACGCTCTGTCGAAAAATCTGGCAGATCTTTTCAGGGGCGCCCAACCGACACCTCGGCCATTCTTCGTGGCCATCCGCTAAATAGTACGTGGTGCTCAGCGCCCCTCGTGTTCTCCGTCCTCTCATTCCGCCTCCCTCGCAGCTCGCTTCGATGCGTTTACAACATTTGCTCTTTTGTGGCATCTTGGCTGCTCGGCACAACCAATTTGGATTTTCCTGCCTGAAGCGCCGGCATGTAAGGCAAGCATACCACATGCATATATCTCTTGTTGCTTAGATAAACTTTACTTGATCAGCATATGCCTTCGTTGATGCGAATGTCGCCGTTTTGAGCTAGTGCGCAGCATGCCATGTGAACCAACCAGAGTACTTTCATCCGTAGGCGTCATCCTTCTCCCTTTGAAGCGACGAGGATGTGCCCAGAAATCACAAACAATTTTTTTTTTGCGAGACCCAGTAGAAGGAGTGTCTGCTGATACGCTGGCGTGGCTTGACGGGTTGTGCATAGAAACCTCAGACAATTTTTTTTTTGGGAGACGCAATAAAACGTGTGCCCATTGATGCGCTGGCGTGCCTCTCCTCGCCGAACCTTGGTGAAGCTCAATCCATTTGCTGACATTCCAAGGCTCGTCCTCCCCAGAGCTGTGACTTTGTGGCTCCGATGCTCGACGGTTTCATGCGGGGGTACTCGAGCACAATGATTACCGCGCTGTCCCAACGCGACTGTTCCTATTGCGCCCGTTGGCAAAGTGTAGGGTGCATCTCAGACACTCTGGAAGTGCTCTAGACGAGACAAGCGATTTGCCTCATGTATAGCCAGTCGTTTCCGTGTGGCGAAACACGGAAACGTTAATGTGTAACTTTGCAGAAGTTCCTTACTAATCTGAAACTTTAATGTGGCCTCAATTCCCACATTTTGTAGTACTTGCCCTAAGGTATTGACCTCTAGCTAGCTTCTAGCTAGGGAAACATCGGAATGCGGTTGTGAAGACCTTAAAAGATGAAGACTTCAAGTCTTACAGCAAGTTGAAATCGTGAGCTGGTTGACTGAACATATATTCAGTTTCGAAGATCACAAAGCAGCAGAAGTTCAGGGATACCTCAAAGTACGTACTTCTTTACCATATTTTTCTTCACAAGACGGGAAAGGACAGACAGTTCTCATTGGATTGTGATCTTCCGCAACGTAAGAATCAGTTCTGGCAGCGAGGGTAGCTTTCCTGTTCATTTCTTTCCTGTTCATTTCTTTCCCATTCATGATGAGCAATAAAGAGACGAATAACCTCGACCGACATCTTGTGTCACATAGGCACAAGATGAGGCGCGATGATTGAAGTTGAAGCACGATAGCCTGCTGACCTGCTGCTCCGTGTGTGAAGGATTAGGCTCTAGGCGATTGACGTCGGGATAGGGATATCCTTTCTCCCCTAGAACAGATGCAGAACAACGCTGATTTCGCTAGCAACCAGAACAACGTACCTTTTCTGTCCGTCGTCCCGTAGAATCTAGCACTTACGAAATGCACGCACAGGCAAGGGTCGAACACCACACATCGACCTGCAGCCATGGCCATCGTCGGTTGGTCCCTTCTTCTGAGGCGTTGCTTTGAAACGCTACAGAAAAAGGGACCAAGCGTTTGAGCGTTGCGAAGCAACGCTACAACGCTACAACGTTTCAACATTTCTTCGAACTTCGAACTTCAACCTCTTGTCATTTGTTAGACTACCGCCTAGCAAAATGACAAGAGCTTGCAGCAAGGTGTCTGTCTTTGCTTCCGAACCATGGTTGCTAGTGTACGTACACCCCTTGTGATCGTTCTTGGGTTGAGAGTGCGACGAATCATCTTTCTACACTGTAAGACAAGGTTAAAAAGCGTAATCCCAAGTAGAAGAACGTCGCAATTTCAATCCAATGAACCCCCTGAGCGAAATTAACTCTAGCAGCAACTATGAAACGTTGGGCGCAGCTTCGTTGTCATTGAGCCTACTTATTATTTTGTCATAAATGTTAGCCTTCGTTGGAGAAAGACGAAAAGTCTCTTAATTTATCCGTGGCATCTCTTTTCATATGCTTTCTATGGTTTCACCTTATGCTCTGCGGATACGGGAGCCGGGCGTACCGGCGCTGTTTTTGGGATATGTCAACGAATTTCTCTCCTTCATGCTGAAGCTTGCAATCGCGTAGGGAGGCTCGGCTACATTCGTACGACAGGATGGTATGCACAATGACACGCTACTTGTCAAGCGGTCAAACTGGTGAAGGAAGACAGCATGCAGACGCACATTGGAAAGCCAGCGGGGCCGTGGAGGAGACACAGTGCCTTCTGAGCAATCTGAAGATGTTGACTACGGTACATGTACAGCACAGTAGTGGATTGGCGTTAATCCAAAGAGAAGGCTCCTATTGATCTCCATGCTCGAGCCTCAAAGTCCTGGAGTGGTTGTTGCCAGCGTCAGATATTGAATTTGGTCGCATTGGCGAAGCGCTTGACATAGAAAACGGAGGGGGCATTGCCATTTGGATGACAAAACAACCATGGTACCATCCATGCCGCCAGCAACCGTACTTGAATCCTACGAGGCAATATACGTGCCGCGTGTACATATGTATACAGCGTGTTGAGACTACGTATTTACAAGAGCATCATCGGGTGAGGACAACAAAGTACAGTATGATGGCAGAAATGGAGTTGCCCACATTTCCGAGTTATTTCGACAAGCCAATTAATTCCCATGATGCAACAACGCAAACTCGCGTGGCCTTCCAATCTCCTCGCCACCACAGACTTTTTCAAGGGGATGACTCGCCAGACAAGACTGCCACACACCTTCACCTTCGTCTTGTCGCATGAATCAAGACCAGCGCCCCAGCCTTACCAGCCATGGAAAAACACGTTGAAGAGGCGATTAAAAACATCCATGGGACGCCGACGCAGGCCGTCGTCTACGTGACGGGCGGTGCGTCGCACGCTTTGCCGTGGCTTCTGTGTGTGCCAGGTGCATCGAACACTGTTATCGAAGGGCGCATTCCGTACAGTCGTAATGTGTTTTCCGATCTCGTCGGACAAGAACAAGCCGCCGCTATCGAGTGTTTCTCTTCGCCATCAGCCGCTCGTGTTTTGGCGCGGGAGGCGTACCGGCGGGCGGTAAGATTCTCACCACCAGGGACAGTTGTGTGTGGGATAGCCGCGGCATGTGCGCTTGCCACTGTGAATTCGAGAAAAGGGGACCACGCAGCGTACGTGGCCACGTACTCTCAGCATGTTGTCGCCGAGTACGCGCTTAAAATGCAGAAAGGTCATAGGTCCCGCATGGAAGAGGATATGCTTACTTCTCGGCTAGTTATTCAAGCTCTGGTAGAAGGATGCAGAACCATATCTAGTTGTGGTGTCACAAACCACCCGCGAGGGACCGTACCCCCGCAGATGTTGGCTCTGTCAAGAGAGAGTGCAATGGAATTAGTACGTGAAGACTTGGTTGCAGGGGATACGCTTCTAGGGCCCGTAGTGCATGAGCATTCTGATGCTATCGGTGGGATATTGCGTGGTGAATTGCGGTTTGCTGAATACTCTCGCGGGGTCACAAACAGGGAAGCGACCTCGGCCACACTCGTTTTTCCTGGGTCGTTCAATCCGCTTCATCGCGGGCATCAGCGTTTGATGGCAGTGGCGCAAGACATGTATCCACGGGACCGCGCGGCATATGAAATCTCGATCACAAACGTAGACAAACCGGCACTGAAGGCGGAGATTGCCAAGCAACGAGTGGATCAATTCGGACTGAAGGAAACGGTTTTGGTGACATCTGCGCCGCTGTTTTCCGAGAAGGCCGAGCTGTTTCCAAACTCGAAATTTGTGGTCGGCGTGGACACGGCTTTTCGCTTGGTGACGCCGAGATACTACGGCGGAGAAGGGCGGATGATCTCTGCGCTCGCGGACATTAAGGCTCGCGGATGCAGGTTTTTGGTGGGCGGCAGAGTGGAGCAGGGCAAGGACGGAGTGGGATCAAACAGGTTTCTGACTATGCGGGATGTGCAGATACCGGGCGGGTTTGATGATCTGTTTGAAATGATCCCGCAAGAAAGGTTTCGGGAGGATGTTTCCAGCTCAGACATTCGGGCTCAGCAAGCGAGAAACGCAAGTAGGTGACGATGAGATGAAAGGCGTTCGAAAGGCCATTCAAGAAGCAAAAAGAAGAAAAAGACATGACAAAACCTGTTTTACAGCGGCTTGCTCACAACCACACAGGCTTGTGGCGAATATTATAGCGAACCAGACTGGTCTGAAAGAGCTCAATAAACTGCTGGTCGAGAATCCTGACCTTATTCCCCGCAAACCTTCGGTACTCATCGAAGATGGAAGTAAGCGACCAGCGCTGGACCTTACGCAGACAGCCGACCAGGCAGCCTGTGCGATGCTTGCCCTTATTACAATGGATCAAGAGCGGGTGCTTGCGGGCGTCAAGCAAGACGCCGAGCGCGTCTCGAATGACCTGTCTCCGGCAATAGGGGCGGACGCAAGCACGAGCAGGAGAGTTCCGTCAGCGGGATGGTTGACGGCGGGGGGGCAGGCGAAAGACGGGCAGGGCAGGACGGAGGAGTGCGTACCGGCTCGGGGACGTCCGTGAAGGGCTCCTTGTTGCCCTGTATACCGAACTGGAGGATGCGGACGCCGTTGTCCCTGCAGAAGGCGACGTTGGCCTCGTTGCACTCCTCGGGGCACAGGTAGACGAGGCTCTTGAGGTGTAGCGACTGGATGAACGAGTTGGTTCA